AGCAGGTCGGGGGGGCAGCAGCCAAGGTGGGACCTAAACAGAATCCCGAGACATACCTTGGTGACAGGTGGCATCACAGAGAGAGCAAAGAGGCACCAAGAACTGTAAAGCGTCTGGGAGTGCTTTCCCTGCTTTCAAGCTAATAAGTTACCCTGCCATGGTTTCACTGATGCTGGCAGAAGAGACAAGACTCCAGAATCAAAGACAAACGATTTAATTATGCACAGCGCAGTGGGCAGCACGAACTCTGGGTTTGTCCATTCCTCCCAAGTCCCACGGGGAGGATGCAGGCCAACGCAGCTTGGCCCTGGATGGACACTGAATTTGTATCACAGCTGAGGAACTCCGAGCTTAGAAACCCCAGTCTCTTCAAGTAGACTGCAAACAGGCCCACTCTTCCTTTACCTCAGAGGAGGCTTGCCTTCTTGTCATATGGCCAGCAAACAAATCTGCCCTCTGCCCCACAGGAAGGAACTCTCTCTCCCTTCCAAAGCTGTTTGCTAGTCAAACATTCTTGAAAACATAGCCAGCGCAAAAAGCTGTCCACACCTCTGCTTGTGAGTTATATGAAAATACCAGCAGCTCAAGGAGAATTGTCTCCTGACAGTGGCATCCAATGGGCAGCGGCTGGAAGTCGAGCACATGAGCCTGTTCAGGGTATGGTGTAGTGGTTTACTGTGTAGACTGTAGAGTCGGATAGCCTGGGTTCAAGTCCTGGTTCTGCCACGTTATAACCGTGTGATCTTGAGCAAGTTACTTGACCTCTCTGCTCCAGCTTCTCCTGTGAAATGAGAATAGTAATAGCCCCTATCTCATAGGGTTATTGTGAAAATTAATATATGAACTGATATATGCAAGGCACTCAGGACAGCACAGGCAGATTGAGGGTCATGTCGGTGTTCACTGTAATGACTATTAATTATCATGACGATGCTGCCAAGCTTGTGGTCACGCCTGTTTTTCCACATTTGTGGGCAAGCTGTGTAACCCACACAGTTCCCTTGGAATCTGTCAGAGAATCTGGGGAGCGCACCAGGATGCTTTGTTCCCTCCTTCCCACACTGACTTCATAAATGGGGCTGCAGGGCTGGAGTGGTGGTGGTTTCAGGTCGCAGGGAACCTGAAATGGACTCAGGTTCAAGTCCTGCCTTTGCCGTACGCCGGCTTTGTGAGCTTAGCGAGCCACTTCCCTGCTGGGGACCTCCAAGTACTTAACTGCACAAGGGTCTGAGTGAAGGGAGAGGGAACCCTCCCATCCCCCCACCCCCGCCTGCCCCCGTGACCTGCTCAGCACACACTCTGGGTCATTTTGATTATCATCGTCGTATCATTATTCAATGAGCAAGACTCCATAGGGTGCAAGCTGATAATTTCTTTGCTCCTTCCCCGCAGTACTCTGTGAATTCACTCTGGCCCCACCGGCTCTCTGCGTGCCCCAAACTCCAGGAGAGACGTGGCGTAGGGGGTGGAGGGGCAGCTCTCTCCTCTGCCTTCTGATCCTTGTCCCCTCACCAAGGGTACACTCAGCCCCTCCCAACCTGCGGTCTTCAAATATGTTACACCCATCTCCACCACCCCCATCACCCTTCAGTCCTCCTTCAGATCGCCTCTCAATTGCTGCCTCCTCCGGGAAGCCTTCCCTGACATCCACCCAAGGCTCATCAGGTCTCTGGGTTAGATATTCCACTAACCTTTTTATTCGACAGTGTTCCCCACCCCACCCCACTCCAACCCAGGGATTCCTTCTTCCAGCAACTTCCTGTTCCAGCAACTTCATGTTGTGGGATGGCGGTCCTTCTCCATCTGCTGAAGCTGGTGTGGCCGGTGCAGACAGGTCGGCAAATCAGCAACAGCCCCCTCCCCCACCACCCAACCAGGGAGCAGGCTTTAAGGAACGAGGATGGGGATTGGTGGATAAATACTCCAGCTCCCACACCCCTCAGCTCTGACGATTCAGAAGAGGGTGCTCTCTGCTGCCCCCGAGAGGCCCTGGCGGAACAGCGCCCTAGTTGTTGAGAGTGGGAACAACCGGCATCATGACTGCAGTTTCAGGAGCCTTCCTTTCTGTCTCACCTCCCACCCCCTACCCGGGTCTCCTTGGCTACCTCCCAAATTTCTTGCCCCCGAATTCCTGTCTCAGGGTCTGCCTCTGAGGGAGCCCAACCTCAGACGGCAGTTTGCCCTACCTACCCTAATGGAGCCCCCAGTTGTCTGCTGGGCCCGAGTCATGTCCACCCTTGTGTCTTCAGAGCCCGCCCGGCACCTAGCATGTAGTAGATACTCAGAAAATGACCCGAGTCTCCTAGCTGTGAGGTGGCCAGGATGGAAACGGGGAGTTCTGCCCCCCACCTCAAGTCCCCAGAAGCTCCCAGTTGGAGAGTTATAGCGCAAGAGGGGAGCTTACTCCTTCCAAGCTATAAACAGCAGCCTCCACCTGCCTGGTGCCCCAGGCCACTCAGCCTGGACAGCTGGGCCAGGGCCCCCAGGGGCCTGGAACCCCAGATGACCCTTCAGGCCTGGCCAGGGCTCCTGGAGCGTCCATGAGGCAGGTACACGGAGAGGACGTAACTCCAGTCCCAAGACTGCAGGGCGAGAGTGGGGTGGCACGGCCGGGCTCTAAGGCCATTCCTAGTCGCCCTCTCCCCTCCCAGGAATCAGATTCCACCTCCGGGAGCTCCCTGAGCAAGAGGCCAGTCCAAGGACGACAGCCTGCCCTACAAGGCCACGGAGCAAGCGGGCATCTCCTGGGGGAGCGATCCCTTTTCGAGCTGTGGTATCAGGCCTGGAATTAGCCACCCCACCTGCGCTGAGGCCAGTCTCAGGGTCTCCCAGGTGCAGCAGGGGCGGAGGGAGCTGGCCTCTGATGACTCAGCTTGAGACAGTCAGGAATGCTGTGTGTGTGGGGGTGGGGGGAGCGGTTAGGACCTCTCTCCAGCTCTGCTCTAGAATCAGCTGGGGCAGCTTCCAGGTCTGCCGCTCCCAAGCCGGGTGACCCTAGGTGGCTCACTCTGGACCTCAGCTTCCTGTTCTATAAAATGAGAATAAAAACAGCCCCCCACCACAGGGTTCAGGGAGACTGAAGTGAGATGCTGCGGGTCAGTTGCTGAGCACCGCGCTCGGCACACGGTGGGCACTCAGGGAGCAGTATTCCATGGTTTGCCTCTGGACTCTGCGCAGCCAGGAGGTGGGGAGCGGGTTGGAGAACAGGCTTGGGGAAGGGTCTGGGCTGGGCCTCCTTGGCTCTCCAACATGGGGAGAAATCAAGGTCCTCAGAGCATGAAAGAGGTTCCAGAACGTTCTGTTTGCTACCATTTTGTCCTCAGTACCTTTGGGTGGAGGAGATCTAACCATGACAAAGAGAAGGACACTAACTTAAGGGGCAATGAAGGAATTAGGATGGGGCAAAGGGTGCTGAGAACCCTGGACCGTGGCCCAACCCCCGAGCGCCCCAGTGCTGCTGGCTGCTGTCAGTCTCTCTCTTTATCCCACTCCCTCTGCGGCCTTGGGCAGGAAACACAGAAGCCTCCATCCCACACAGAAGTCTTGATGCTGGGCTGGGAGTTCAGGGCTCTGTACAGGAAGGCTTCCTGGAGGAGGAGCCATATGATCTGGGTTTTGAAGGATGAACATAAATTTCCTAGTTAAAGAACTGTGTGTGTGAGAGAGAGTGTGTGAGTGTACAGAGGGGATTATTCATTTTAATTAACAAGGATTTTCTGATCTTCTGGGTGTCGGGGACTCAGGGGCCCACAGGCAAGGCCAAGGCACAGGCTTGCTCCAAAGCAGCTCAGCCTGAAAGTGATGATCAAATAACAATGGGAGTAATAGCTCCCACATTCTGACCATGGGCTGCTGGGGCTCAACCTGTGAGAGGCTCTCTATGTTTGTCAAGCGAATGAATGAGCACACAAATCTTTCTAAAGGCAGCGAATCCTGCCCCAGTTGCTGCAGGAGCGAAGGAAGGCACAATGGGCAGAGGGGACCTCAGGTGCCAAGGCCTGTAAGTAGGAGATGGCAGCCCTCCCTGGGAGCTCTGATCTGGGGGGGGGGGCAGTTGGGGGTTGGTAGGGGTGGGGGTTGGGCAGGAGTCCTGAGTGAGAGGCCGAGGGGCCAAGGCCCCCTGATCCTGCAGGTGCTGCAGAGCCACAGCGGATCCTGAGCTGGGAGGAGGGCATCAGGGTCTGGTCAGGGCCTGCCTGACCTCTGAGAGCTTCTGCGAGAAAGAGCCTGGGCCAATCTCCCCCGGGAGGGCCGGATCCACTGGGGGCAGGGGCGGTGACAGAGAGAGACACACAGAGGAGGCAGGAAGAGAGAGCAGGGGAGAGAAGAACCTGAAGAGATAGAGGGAGAGAGACAAGGAGATACAGAGAGAATCAGAGAGACAAAGAAAGAGGGACACAGAGGGAAGGAAATGGAGACAGACACAGAGACACGGAGAAAGGCAAGCGACAAAAAGAGAGATAGAGACAGAGATGGAGGGAGAAGATGGTGAGACCAAGACCCTCCAGAGAGAGGGGGGAGTGACCCAGGGAGGACCCTGGGGCAGCAGCAGGAGGCGGGATGGCGGGGACCCCAATCCCTGGACGCAGCCCCCAGAGGGGAGCAGAAGGGAGGGCAGGAGCCTCCCCAGTCCACTCTGCGCCCACCCACAAGCCCTCTTCAGCCTCCCAACCACAGATGGGGAAATTGAGGCCAACCAGCAGGCCCCTTGGGACCCTCCTGGGCCAGCATTGTGCCCCCATGCTCACAAGGGACCTGTGTCACCAGGTTAAAAATGGAAACAGGTCGGGCCTTTTTTTTTTTTTTCCTTTGAGAAAATCCTAGGCCCAAATAAGGTATGGGCTGCGGGCGGCTGGTGAGCTGGCCAAGTCCTCCTGAGAGAGCAAGTGGTGGCTGGCCCGGCCAGCCTGGGTTTGGGCCTCCTCCAAGACGCGCCCAAACAGGGCGGCACACCCTGGGGAGGCTATAAGGGCCTCCACTCCACCCTGCTGTTCACTCGGCCCCAGCCTCAGACCCCGACACAGACCCCGCCACCGCGCCTCTCCCACCCAGCCATGGAGGCCATTAAGAAGAAGATGCAAATGCTCAAACTGGACAAGGAAAATGCCATTGACCGAGCCGAGCAGGCCGAGTCAGATAAGAAAGCTGCTGAGGAGAAGTGCAAGCAGGTGAGGGGCGGCTGCGGGGCGGCGCCAGGCTGCCCGGCGCCCTCTCTGAGCCGGTGGAGCTTGGGGCTGAGGGTTGGGTTCTCCGAAACCTTGGTACCAGGAGGTTAGGAAGGGGACAGGTGGTGATGCTCCAGCCAAGAAAGAGTAAGGCTGTCATTGTCCTCCCTGGGAGGGGGTGGGTCCCTGGGCTGGGAGAGAGAGGGGTGACTGGACACACCCAACGGGACCAGTGGGAACCAAGTAAGAAGGGATGTGCGTGTGTGCAAACGTTGAGGGCGTGTGTAGGTGTGTTGGGGTGACTGTGTCCGTGGGGGTGTATGTGTACTGGATGGGGTGGTTGTAGGACATTGTGTGTGAGTGTATTTGAGTGTGTTCAAACATTTCCATGTGTTTACATGTCGTGTGTGCGTGTTTTGGCTGGAGTGTGGAGGAATGTGATCGCTGTGAAGATGAGAACGTGCAGAGAGAGGTATGGGCATGTGGCTGTCGGAAAGCGGGTGTGAAGGAGTGCGGGTGTGTTTGTCAGCCCGTGTGGGGTTGCGTGTGCGGGGGGAGAGGCTGCCTGTGTGCGTGTGTGCGTGTGTGTGTGTGCGCAAAAGTTGGCATGACTAATGGAATGTGCGAGAAGGCCAGGGTGAGTGTGTCCAGGGGACTGCGTTGGGCTTGGCCCGTGTGTGCTTGGCGGGAGTTACTCTTTCTGTTGGATGTGTGCGCCTGTGGAGGTGAGGGCGGCAGTGCAAAGCTTGCGGGGGTGGGGGGAGGGTACCCTGTGCCTGTGTGACTGTGAACCTGTGGGCCCATTTTGGTGACCGCCCAGGAAGGGTGGCCAGGAGCGGGTGTGAGGCGGGGCTGGCTGTGGCTGGCCGCACGGGCAGCTGGGGAGGCAAGGGATGCCTCCTAACGGCCGGGCATGGAACCCAAGTCCCCAGAGGTCAATTTCCCCATCCGTGGTTGGGGAGGTGTGGATCCGGGGTGAGTGGAGCTTTGAGAATCCCGTTGAGACCCTGCTTCTCTGGGGTGCCCTCGCTGGCCCTGGTGCGAACTCAGCAGGGCAAGGCAGGGCTGTCTGCGGCAGACGGGGGCCCTGGACCCAGAGCTGTGGGGACAAGAATCCCAGGAGGCTCTGGCAATAAGGGTACATCAGGCACCCTTACAGGAGGGGCAATGGCAGAGGTCTGGGCTGGGCAGTCCCAAGGCCATGGATTGGGGCAGAGCTGAAGTCAGTCAGTCGTGGTCGTGGTCAGGGTCTAGGTGGCCAGAGCAGCCAGTGGGAGGAGTGAAGGGGGGCCATGCCCCTTCCGTAGTGCCCTGCCCCCAACAGGGCTCATTGACATCCCAGAGTCAATCGCCAAGCTCTCAGGAGTGGCAGGGTCTCCAATAAGCCCCAGAAGCTGCCCAGGACAGTGATACCAACTACCCAGCCCTGCCCCAGCCCAGAAGCCAGGCCAGCTTGGCAGGTAAAAGCACAGGCTGAGCTCAGACTGGCTCTGTTCGCAGCTTGGTCACTGAGCACCCTGGAGCAAACGTCTTTACCTCTCTCTGTGCCTTGGTGGCTTCCTGTGTGAAATGGGGTAGAGACAGTTGTACCTCCTTTGTGGTGACTATGCAGGTAGATCCCTTGTCATGGCACCTGGCACAAAGTAAGTGTTTGATAAAAGCAGGGTTGTTTCCTGCTCTTCCCTACTTCCCCTTTGGGCTCCTCCCTCTACCCTTATCCTGCGGCTGTGACACAGCTACACTGGTCTGCTCCACCTCAGCCCTCCCCATCACAAATGTCCCTCCTCCCTCCCTGTGCCCCTCCCTAACAAACAGACGCCCATCCTGTGCTGGCCCTGAGCTGCCCGCTTCCATCCATCATTCAGCCCTCACCAAGGGCAGCTTAGCAAACAAAAGCAACTTGATGATTCTAATTTTCACTAAGGTGTGAGTGACTGATACAGTATACTTTGCCAAGGCAAACTCAAGTTCAAAAGGAAATGCTCCTCAAAGCCTCCAGGAAGCTTGTGGCCAAGGGGGCAAGGACAGGTTCTCTGGCCTCTAGCTGCATTTTCATTCTACTCTCATTCTCTCTCCCCACACCCCCATCCCCAAAGCCTCCTTGTGCTCAAATCCAGGCTGGATCATCTAGCTTTGTGACTCAGGGCACATTGCTGCTCTCCTCTGAGCCCTCAGTGTTCTCACCTAAAAAATGGGGGCAAATGATGCTTTCAATGGCCGGGCATAAAACCCAAGGCCCCAGAGGTCCAAACCAAAAGCGAGAGCCCCACAGGGCCAATGGCAGTCCTTCCTTGGAACGGAGGCAGGATGTGACAAGGGATTCAACTTACCCAGAGTGCCTTACGCTTCAGAGGAAGCCAGAGTGTGGGTCTCAGGACCAGCCTGACCCTCAGGGTCCCTGCAGCAAAGTCCCGATTCCAAGCCCCCTTACCCCCCACCCCCACCTGTCTGTTGAATGTGGGAATGGGACCAAGAGGCCCAGCCCACCTGCTTCCTGCCCGCTCCTCTCCCAGGGCAGTAACATCCGCCACAGCTGGCCTTTGACCCCACATCCTGACTCAGCCCTGCCTGAAGACCCTCCCAGCTGTTTCACAGGCAGGTAAACAGAGGCCCAGAGAAGGAAGTGACCTGCCCGAGACCTCCCAGAGCCAAGGCAAGGCTCTGCCCACCCAGCGAGGCTGTCTGCCTGCCTTGAGTGTGGAATTCTGAGTGAAAGGAACTGCTTAGTGTCAGTCTTATTTATTTTTTATACCGGCTCCAACCACAAAAGGGCTTGGGGTTGTGTCATTGCTTCATTCTGAGAACTTCCTCCAGGATTCCATGGTGAGTGCCCAGCCCCGTGCTGGGTCATACAGAGGCCCAGAGTGACCCGGTCCCAGGCCTGGCTCTCAAGGAGCCCCAGGCTGGAAGAGATGGAGCCAAACACAGAGGGATGCCCCCTGCCTCCAGGATAGGGCTGGGCCACAGAGGGACAGGGACTGGAGGGTCCAATGGGATGACAAGGGCTCTGCCCAGAATAGCAGGACAAACCCCCCAGGAAAGGGAGCTTTGGCACTGGGTGTGGGAAGTCAGCAGGAGGAGGGTGTGCTGGGCAGTGGGCACAGTATAGCCTAGTGGTCAAGCAAACCAGCCTGGAGTCAGTCTGACCAGGGTTCAAATCCCCTATCTGTATGACCTGGAGCAAGTTCCTTCCTCATTTGGTAAACTTCCTCAGTTTACCTCTCTATAATATGAGCCTCCAGTAACAGGCCTTGCACATCCCTAATGCATCATAGCCTCCTGCCCACTGTATCCCAGTCCCCACCCACTGTCCAGACTTTTCTGGAAAAGGTCTTCAGAACCCCAATCATCTTTGTAGCTCTCTGAGGCACTCAGGTACCACCATGTCAAGGCTTCCATTTTACAAAAGAGGAAACCGAGGTTAGAAAAGAGGACAAGGATCCTACAGCTGACGCGTAGACTCAGGTTTCTGGGCTCCTGGCCTAGAGGTCAAGGTCAGGCCCATAGACCTTGATTTAGGCCTGAGCTGCTGCCCGCCTCCCCACCCCTCTGACCCTTCAACCCCCTCCCCATTCCCCAGCTCAGCATCCAACACCCAGAGGCCTCAGGATGGGAGGCTAGGTGATATCACCTTGGGACAGGAGCCCTTTTAAGAATCTGACCCCGCCACGCGCACACACATTCCCACACTTTGCACGTCTTGAGGATGACCACGTAACCCGGATCAGATTCCCAGCTTGGTCTAAAAGCTGCAGGCACAGCATCTTTTATAACATACCCTCTTCAGGAAGGAAGAGAAGGAAGTCAGAGAGCGATGCAGGAAGGCAGGCCCAGCACGAGGGCCTGTTTAGAAGTGGGTTCAGTTCCTGTGCCGCTTGACCTGGGGAAAGTTACTCTGATGCTGTGGGCTTCCTGCTGTGAAGAGGCAGCGGGAGGAGGAAGGGGGTGGGGTGGCCGTGGGGGCAGCCTGGGAGCAAGGACAGGATCAGGGGTCCAACTACCGAAGAAGGCGTAAGTCCAATCAAAGCATGAGCTGGACTAACCACCCAGCCCAGAATTAGGACGGGGGAAAGGCAACCTGGGGTTATTGGAGTTTTCCCGAGCTGCCCACTGACTGAGGCTGAGGGGCGACAGGGATGGAGAGGTGGACTGTGTGGTTTGTGTCCCATAGGCCTGAGCTTCTCAAACTGGGGTGTAGGGAGGGGGCCGAGACCCTCAGGATAAACAAAGGTGACTCAAAATTTGGGAACTGTGGGGGACATTGTTATTAAACTGAACACAAGCCAGATACCCAAGAATTTAAAAGATTTAAACTGAGCTTCAGAAGTAAGTGGTCTTTCAAGGTAGCTGTCTCCTATTCAAGCCCCCAAAGTCCAGGAGTGGTCTCAGCCCTTCAACCTTTACAGGGTATTTTTGTGACACAGTGTGAGAACCGCTCTTTTGGGTAAAGGGGAGCCATGACAGGTTCTAGGCAGGGGGAGGACATACACCTAGAAAGGTTCTCTGGCTGGGGCAGGGGGAGGCTGCAGAACTAGAGGGGCATTAGCTAGAGATAGGGACCGTTCAGGCCTGAAGTATGAGACCCCCTTTCAGTTGAACCCAGATCACCAGGAGGCTGCACCCTTAAAACTGAGATGCAAAACTGAATGTGTGAATCTGGGAGAAGCGTCAGTTTCCCCAAAGCTGTACTGGATTCCCCAAGGATACTGAGGGCCCCTCAAAAAGAGAAGCCCATCTGGTCCCAGGACAAGGAAAGATGTGAAAATCATATTCACAGGCAGCATTTATTGAGTGGTGCATAGTATTGTTATCCCCTGTTTTACAGATGAAGAAACAGGCCCAGAGAGACAGAGGACTCTTGTGAATGTGGGGGAAGCCCCTGCCACGGGACGTGGCCCCCAGACTGACACGTTACCCCCTCTGTCCCCAGCTGGAGGACGAGCTGACGCATCTCCAGAAGAAATTGAAGGGGACGGAGGACGAACTGGACAAATACTCAGAGAACCTGAAGGACACACAAGAGAAGCTGGAGCTGACGGAGAAGAAGGCCTCGGACGTACGTGCGCAGGAATGCGGCCGCCCGCGGCAGGGCCGGGCAGGAGCCTCGGGCAGGGGGGGAGGAAGAGGAGGAGGAGGAAGAGGAGGCGGTGCCTCCCTGTGCTTTCTCCAAATAAGTCCCGAAAAGGGGCACTTTCCAACAGCTGCGGCCAGCGGTGCCGACGTCAGGCCCTCCCCCAGCGGTGCTGACGTCGGCGGCTGGGCCGGGTGACCTCATCGCCCCGACGGCGGCCGGGCCAGGGGCGGGGAGGGGCGGGGGCGGCACCCGCGCAAGCAAAGGCTCGGGGGCTGGGGCGCGGCTGCTGCAGCTTTCGCCGAAGCCGAGTCCAGCCAAACCGAGCGCCCGCTGCGTGCGCCCCCGCGCCTCCGCGCCATGGCCGGCCTCAACTCCCTGGAGGCGGTGAAACGCAAGATCCAGGCGCTGCAGCAGCAGGCGGACGAGGCGGAGGACCGCGCGCAGGGCCTGCAGCGGGAACTGGACGGCGAGCGCGAGCGGCGCGAGAAAGTGAGAGCCCATCCCGGGCCCCGCTCCGGCGCCGCGCGCCCGAGCACAGCGTCCTCCCCGGCCCCGCGCGCCCCAGCTCGCCCCGCGCGCCCTCCTTTCTTCCCTTCTGCCGGCGCCTCCCGCTTCCCGCGCTCCCGCCCGCCGGCTCACCACCACCGCGGCTGTCCACCTCCCCCACCCTCGATTTGCCCGCCTTCGCGCCCTCGAGCCCGGCTGCTGCCGATCGCGGACCCGCGAACGCCCCCGCCTCTTACCCCGGCTCGGGGCTGGCTGCTGGGACCCCTTCCTCCGCCGCCCTCCTCCTCCCCGGGCCTGGGACTGGGGAGGGAGCGCGCAGCCGGGTCGGGAGGGGCCGGCCGAGCGGGAAATGGGGGGATGGGGCCTAGTGCTTGTGCGATCCCGGAGTGGGGTGGGGGCACCACGCAGCCCTCCGACTCGAGCTGGCGCCGGGTCCGGAGGGTGGGGGAACCCGCGGCTGCACCTAGGAGCGGGAAGTGAGAGTGGAAACGAGCTTCCATTGTCTGAGGCTGGACCGGCCGACTTGGACTGGGGTGGGGGAGGTTAGGTCGCACTTTCTCGCCTCTTCTGAGGCTTCCTGGCTCCCGCTGAACTTTCCCAGCTGTTCCCAGGGGCGCGGCAGCGACGTGTCTGCTCCCCGCAAGGGGCGGAAGTTCAGCCCTGAGCCGTCGGCCTTTCGTTGCCCAGCTGGTCCCTGCGGGTACCAGGGCCGCGGGAGGGGCCCCGCCTTTTCCAGAAGTCCCTTGGAATGTTAGCACGGGGCCCTAGACCCGCGATCCATCTCTGTACCTCTGCTGCGTGTCGCAAGGCCCGAGGCAGATAATGGGGCTGAATGAGGAGAGGGCCTTGCCGCCCAGTATCCATCCCCTGACTGCCCCTCGGGATGTGACATATATATGGTGGCAACCCTGGGGCTGGGGAGAGATGTGGATTCTTATTCCATCTCTAACCACTGGGTACTTACAACCCCTAGAAGAGAATCTCCCCATCTGTAAAGTAGGGGTGATGGTAATGGCGACTCCCTAGGGTAGTTAGGAGGGTCCCCGGAATAAACCCACCCTGCATGCATCTGGCACATAGTAGGTGCACGATTCCTGGGAGTTTTTTCCCCCCCTCCCCTTCCTCTATCCCCAAAAGAGCTCACCACCTAATGGGGGTAAGGAGGATAGACACACAAGGCTGATTTGCATTTTGGGGTCTCTTCTGGGCATGTGGCAGGGAGGAAGCCATCCAGTGGAGCTTCAAAATGGAGGTTGAGCAGAGTCTTAGAGAATAAATTAGAATTTTCCGGGACAGGACACCTGGTCGTGTAAAGACTCAAAGGCAAAAAAGTTGAGGGAGGGGGTGGAAGCCGAGGGACCCTGAAAGCTGGAATGTTGGGACTCAGGGCGGGACCCTAGAAGCGGAGAAGATGCCGGCCAGGTGGAATCGCCCTGGGTAGGAGCCCCCTACTGCTTCGGGTTGGCCTGAGTCGCAGCCTTTAATCCTGGAAGGCTCCCGACAGTAGCTGGTTTGGCCTCTTTCGCACACGGAACCGGCGTAATCCTCCCTCTGATCTCATCCCAAGTCATCTCACTGGAGGACAATTACTTTTGCTTAAAAATGGCCCTCCGCCGCAAGCCAAGACAGGAGTGGGACAGTCCACTTGGGAAGAAAGATGTTTTTGGAAAGTAGCAGATATCTTTAAAACATTCGCTTTTCAAAGCGTGCTGCTCTTGGTCAGGGGGGGAAAAGCTTGAAGGTTCCTGGGCAAAGGAATGGGGCCTGGAGCAGGGAAAAAGCCCTTTCGCAGTCGCCTGTAGATAAAGCCAAGAGCCGGCGTGTGGCAGACTTCTGGGGCTGCCTCCAACAGCTGGTTTCATTTAGATTTTTGTGTGATTAACCGACATCTTCCTGTTCCTTGGCCACATGTATCTAGCAAGCCTCTTTTACCTTATAAGGGAAATCCTTTGTAGAGTGTAGAAGCTTTGATTGCAGGAAGGGGTGGAGCCCCAGATGACTAGCAGTGACTAGCAGTTTTTCAAAAATACATATATATGTGTGTGTCCATATAGATGAATGCATCTCACAACTCCTTCGATTCCAGATAGTTGAAAACGTGCCCAGAGCGTGGTTTTCAGGATTCAGAGTCCCTGGCATAAGGAGCCACTCAGTTCTTTTTTCAAAGACAACTTCTAAGTCCAACACCTCTGTCTGATCTTAAAAATCAATTCCTTGATGGCCAATGGGTATAGGATTTCTTGGTGGAGTGACTAAAATGTTCTGGAATTAGATAATCATGTTGGTTGCACAATTTTATGAATGTACTAAAAAAACATAGCAGGGGGCGGGATTCAATTCCTGCCCCAGTTGCTGAAGGAGTTAAGATTCACATAATTTAAAAAGAATGAAAGGCACTCCTTAGAAGGAGTGGGAGACCTTTCTTAACAGAGCTCCTCACTGGTTTTTGGTGGATTCCCCACACTGGTGTCCCGGAGGCGGCCGCCGTCAGAAACACCTGCCTCGCTGCTGGAGCCTGGAGCTGAGAAGAGCTGCCTGGTTTTCTGTTCTGCAGCGGCCTCGGCCTCTGTATCACTCCATGTTTTCAGTGTTTAAAGGAGCGGGGGAGGGAGCGGTTTCCCACTCACTTTTATAGCCTACCCCAATCCAGAGGCTTATTTTTCTTGGTATCACGACGCCAGCGTGGCTTTGCCTGGGCCTTCACGTCTCCTCTCGGGCGAGCCCCGTTTTCACCCACTGCCGACGCCCCTTCCAGGGTGTGGCTCGCCTCGAAGCCCCCGTGGGACTTGGAGGTTCGGGGTGCAGGTCGAGCAAAGGCGGAGCCCCGAACTGGTGCACAAGGGGCCATGCCTTACCAATTTTGTGACACTGAACAGCAGGACTTCACCTCACTGGGCCTCTCTGTTTTCCCGTCTGTAAAACGGGTGAATTACATGAGGATTGAATGAGGTGAAATCATGGCTGCCAGAGGTGCCCTTTAGTGGGACTCACCACATGCCCGGTACAGTGCCTCGCCCCTCAGTGACAGTCCTCACAGCAGTGTGACAGACAAAGGCAGGAAGGAATAGGGTAGGGAGGCTCAGAGCCATGGAGCAACCAGCCTAACGCCACATGGCTGCACGCTGGCAAAGCAGGCCAAGACATTCTGATCCTGAAGCGCTTGCTTTTAGGCACACCCCACCACCTTTCCTTCCTTGTGGGGAAAACACCTGGAAAAGCCTGTAACGCTGTTCAGGCATCTCTTCCATGTGTGTCAGCAAGGTTTCTTGCCTTTGGTCTATGTTTTGTCCCATCATCTCTTGGCCAGATCGACTTAAGGGCGGTGCTCCATCCGGGCTGCCGTCCTCCCCCGAGCGTATGGCCAGGATTTCACTAAGGGCTCCGTACTCTTGCCTTATCTTGCCAATGAGGTGACTGGCAACAGACCTGCTTATGTGCAAGGGTGAGCCGGTGGCCTTCTTCTCTAGGACGCCCACGCACAGAGAGGCTAGCACTGTCCTCCCGCAGCACGCGGCATACTTGTTTCTCTCCCGTGTTGATTTGACCACCCATCCTGTACGGGGCACGCACCTTCATCGCTGAGTGGCGGGTGTTCCCTGCTGTTTTCAGGAAAGGGCATACAGAAAATTCACCTCCAGAAAAGAGTGTGGGTTCCTTAGTGCCTGGATTCCTGGGTGGGCTCTGGCGAGGGGAATGGCGTTAGCTGAGGGAAAGCACTGTGTGGGTGGCGACTTCCTCCCGCTGGCCTGTTGCCTCCTAACCTGGCTGCACCTCTGACCTCCCCAGGCTGAAGGGGATGTGGCAGCTCTCAATCGACGCATCCAGCTGGTTGAGGAGGAGTTGGACAGGGCTCAAGAGCGACTGGCCACAGCCCTGCAGAAGCTGGAGGAAGCAGAAAAGGCTGCCGATGAGAGCGAGAGGTAAGGATGCTTTGAACCCCGTGGCGCTGGTGGTGGCTCCCAGGACATGGGTGGCTGACCTCACAGAACAGGGGTGCGAGTGCATGCAATCACATGACATGAACAAACATAGATACGTACAGTGTGTGACCGCGCCTTGAAAACCGTCACGCAGTATATAGAGGTGTTTGTCATCGGGATGGTGACAGAGAACTCACCAGCAGAGGAAGGGAGAAAAAAAGATGGGCAGCTAGAACTGCAAGTATGACTGCCGTAGGGATCAGTGTGCAGAGGCTGAGGGCCACTGCATCTCCTCTGTTTTCAAGACATCAGTTGCCAGGGTGACGTGAGAAGGAGGCAGGTAAAAACTTGGAATGGCCCATGCATAGGTGATTGTGAACAATGCTGTTGGGCAGGCTTTGGCTACTGGGTGGCTACAACGGCACGTCGGGGACACGCACAAACTTGCAACTGACGATGCTTCTCACCCTCGTGGCATGAGCCCTGCATTTGGGCTTCCTGGGTGCTCCGTCTTCTGGGGCGCGACAGTTTTCTGGCGCAGTGCTCGCAGATTGTGTGATTCACAGAAGCAGCCACCCTCGCATGCTGTAAATGGGTTCCCTGGGTGGCGACGGTGTGGGCCAAGTTGAAGGCTGGTGTGCGCCCGGCACACAATTCCACCAGAATTCTCGCTTAACCCATCCGCCGTGGTTTTCCGGGATGAACTCTTCCAAAGGGGTCATTCCTGATTGTGCTGAGGTGACCAAAAACGGAGATTAAAAGCCAACCATGGGGGTGGGGGGGCCAGGGAGCCAACTAGGATCTTGGAGATCCACTCTGGGAGTTGCCCAAGCAGGAAATGTCTGCCCATGCGGTGCAACAGCCCACGCCGAGGGTTCAAGCCCCAGGGCAGGCTCTGCTTCAGCCACTTGGAGGGAGGGGGCAGCTGTGGGAAATGTGAGGATCCCATCCCAGGGTGCTCGTGGCTGCGCCTGGGGCCTGGGTCAGCTGCGTGTGCCCTCTCAGATCAGCCTGGCTGGATGTCTCCTTTTCAAGATGTCCCCAGGGCAAAGCCAGCAAGCCTGGAATTGCCCGTCACTTGGATCACGTCACCAGAAGCCTTTGGTGACAGGCGTTGTTGGAGACTGATGTTTTTGGCAAAAGGAATTCTGTACTCAGGAGCTGGAGAATCTCGGTTCAGGTCCTGCCGGCACTTGCTGTTTGGCCGCGGGCGGATCATTCCATCTCCCCAGGACCGCAGCGGCTCTCCAGCTTGCTCCCCTCTCATCTTGAGGCCTCGTACAAGTGTGCAGGGTGCCGTGACAGTCAGCAGAGAATGCTAGTGGCAGCCCAAGTGGAAGCGTTTATTGGACAGCAGAAGTGTGTGCTCCCCTGCTCTCGGTGGGCGCGACAATTGCGATGCTGCCCTGGGGCAGCCTCTTGGGAGGCGCGGATCCTCCCTGGATCAGTCCCAGCAGCGCAGGCCAGAGGGCGCTCATTTCATGGTCAGCCACTTGAGTCACGGGAGGCTTCCAGCAGTGCCCAGGAGGGATCCGCTGTCTTCCTCTCTCGCCTTGTTGGTATCAGCTCTTCCCTGGGCTTCCCACTGCAATCCGTTCACTGTTCTCATTTCCACTCACTCCTGTTTTTGAACTTTGGGCAGTTTCCTGTCCCCTCAGCATAAAACCCTTGGCGAGTCATTCAAGTGCCCCACCTGCAGTCTGGCCTCCCTGACCTTCTGCTGTGTCGTGTCGTTTTTCTGGGGCTTTCTTGTACAGCGCCCTCACTGAAGAATACCTTTCCCCTCGGTCTCTCTTCTGGAAATCCTCCATGACACACGCACACCGCTTGTCGCACTGCTGCGGAATTCGTCTTTGACCAAGCTGGCCCAGGCCTCTAATCACATTGTAGTAACGGCTGGAGTAGAAGTGCACCCTGTTACCAGGTGGAGATGATTTAAAATGGGAACACAGGCTCTGGAGTCAGACCACCAGGTTGGGGTCTCAGCTCTGCACTTAACTACTATATAACCTCAAGCAAGTCACTGAGCCTCTCTGTGCCTTGGTTTCTTCCTCTGTGAAATGGGGACAACGTGCCTACTACCTCATGGGGCGGTTTTAACGTTTAAGGCACTTAGAACAGTGCCCGGCGTTCAGTAACAGTAAAAAGTGCGTGTGAGCAGCTCCACGATTTCCTCTTTGGAGCCCAGGTCTTGGCCGGTGTCTGAGAAGCACTTAGATGAGGGGGCGCGGGGAGGGGCCCGATGAGGGGGCGCCACGTGCGGCAGCAATGACCAGGTTGCTCCTTGCAGAGGAATGAAGGTGATAGAAAACCGGGCCATGAAAGACGAGGAGAAGATGGAGATCCAGGAGCTGCAGCTCAAGGAGGCCAAGCACATCGCCGAGGAGGCCGACCGCAAATACGAGGAGGTGCGTGGGGCTGGCAGATGGCGGCGGTGGCAGGAAGTGGGGAGGAAATGGACGTGTGATAGGGAGGCCCTGGGGCCACCCAGAGGAAGCTCTTGGGTAGGTCAGCTGTCCATCTGTATCCACATCTGTTTTTCCAGAGACACACTTGGCTGGGAACTGCATCTTCCATGATGCCAAGAAGTCCTAGGGAATTCTGTGACACTTGTCTGACTTGGTAGGGAGACCAGCTGGCCAGGTCACTTTTTGTCCTGCAGCTGGCTAGCTATTTGAGCACAGTTTGGCTAAAATTGGGGATCGTGGTCCCCAGCTGTGGGTCTTCAGACAGTAGAAGCTCAGTCCCCCTTCTCCTTGCCTCCATGGTCTCCGCTCTTCCTTCCCCTCCCATCCGCCTCTCTCCTGGGACCCAAGGGAGAGAATGTTGATGGCCCCCAGGACTGAGTTAAAGCAACAGCAGAGAGCCCCATAGTGGCAGATCGTCTGGACGTGGCCTCGCCGTGTGCACTGGGAGGCATCCTACTAGTGTGGCGGTTGGGGTCAGTTTCCTACCATCTTTTCTGTCTCTGCAGGTAGCTCGTAAGCTGGTCATCCTGGAGGGCGAGCTGGAGAGGGCAGAGGAGCGTGCGGAGGTGTCGGAACTGTGAGTGGCAGGGCAGGGCTGGGGGAGAGGGGCCAGCTCAGCTTTTGGGCCTGAGCCAGAGGGAGTTGGCTAACACCAACCAGAGCCTCCGCTCAAGTGGATGGGCACCTGGGGCTCATTGCTCAGTCCTTCCTCTTCTGTGGCTGACAAAGAGAGGTGGCAACCATTCGTCCTTGCTGCCCACGTCTTGGCTCTTCCCACAAAGGTACTGGGAAATAGGAGTGAGACAGCTGGTAGCAGAGAAGCCCAGAAATCTCATTCTCCCAGAGAGAGTGTCTCACTGGGTAGTGCTTTCTTAACAGAAAGCTGACCTATAGAAGGCAGCCCCCGCCCCGCCTCAGCGTTGAAATGCTTTGCTTCTGAAGTCATTATTTGGCCATGACACATTCCGGGGCGGGCGGAGTTGGGGGCGTGAGAAGCTTGATCAGAATCCTGAAAGCTCCAAAAAACCAAAAATGCTCTCCCCTGGGCCCTCCGGCTCCACAGAGCATCCCGCAGCACTGAGGCGGGTCTGGTTTCACAAATGCATTCTGGGCTTGCTTCCTGGAGTGTCCGGTGTAAACTCTGATTGCTGTCCAAGTGCTGTCCCCCAGCCTCCTGCTCTCCATCTTGTTCTTACACCTTCCGGAGGCAGCCTCATCAATCATAGATTCCACGAGTCCCTGTTGCCTCAGCCTTGGCAGGAGCCCAGGAGCGCTGCACAGACCTTCCCAACACTCCCCAGCCCGCCTGCCGCGCCTTCGCTGGGCACGATAGGGTTTCGATAAGTACACAGTGCTCCAGCTCAGGGAAGGCCATTAACCTTTCCCCCGCATTCCTTGGGGAGGCTCCAGGCATGTGTGGATTCCTCCTTGGGAAAACTGCTTTTAGGGGAATTGCCTGCTGTAAGGGAAGATTAAGACACAAACATCTTGTATCTGCGCAGAAAATGTGGCGACCTGGAGGAAGAGCTCAAGAATGTCACTAACAACCTGAAGTCGCTGGAGGCTGCCTCTGAAAAGGTTGGTGGTTGGCTTTTAGTAGGAGAGTGATTGGCTGGACTTGCTTCTTTTCTTCCCCGAGGTCCCCGGGAGCATGCCAGGGTGTCAGGGATCTGATCTGCGTTCGCTGGCGGCAGCTTTAGACCCCAGCAGCGGGGTGTTTTCCCTACAGAAAGAGGCATCTGGTGACTGCGTTTCCCTCCTCTGGGGGTCTTGGCACCTTCTCTCTTCTTCTGAGGGGGTGGAGATAGGATGTGAGATAGGATGTGAGATCAATGCCTGGTCAGCCTCCTCATGGGGAGATCTGAGCATAATCCTATAAATATAGAGCCCCCACTTGAATCCCTTGGTTCTTCCAGAAATACCTCCTTGAAGACTGAGCAGCAGATATCAGAGGCCACTTGGGCTTTTTAGGTCGAAGCGGTATCCGGATCCAAGTGGCCACTGCAGGATAGGACCACATCCTGCACTGTATAGTCTCCCTCGGCTCACCCCGCTGAATTCTGCATCCTCATCTCTTCCTCGCCCTCCCTCCTCCTGCAGCATTGAGCTTCCGTTTCACAAACATCCCATGTTCTCTCGTCACCTCCAGCTCTTTAAACCTGTTGTCCATTCAACCAGGGGTGACCTTTCCTTTTCTCTGTGCTTGATAACCTCCTAGTCATCCTCCAGGCCTCTGCTTAAATAGCACTTCTTCTGAGAAGCCTGCCCCGATCGCTTATCTAGGTTAGGTGTTTCCTGGCTTGGTGGCCCTACCTACGTCTTTTCCTATCATAATGGTTGATCTCATTTATCGTGATTACTCAATTAATTGCGTGCCTTCCTTACCAGGTTGTAAACTTTAAAGACAGGGTCCGTATCTGACTTCTTTAGAGCTGTATCATTAGTCCTAGCCTTGTGCTTGGCATTTATTTGCTACCAGGATATTTGATGAATAAATACAGTCCAGGTGTACATGCCAAATGCTGCCCGAAGCCACAGGGATAGATGTTACAGTGACGGTGTGGCCTCTGCTTCTGTGACAGCTCAGAGTCGAGTTAAGAGACTGACAAGATAACAAGGTGCTTTGGGACTTCAACAGAGGGACCTTGGAAAGTTGGGAAAAGTATCACAAGGAAGTGACCTTTAAAAAGGCTGTAGACAGGAGGTGAAAGATAAATACTGTATGATCTCACCTATAAGTGGAACCAAAGCAAACAAGCAAGCAAAATGGAACCAGAGACATGGAAATAACAAGCTGACAGTGACGGGGGCGCCGGGGGGAAGGCAATACCAGGGGAAAGAAGGGGAAGGGTCAAGTGAGGGAACAGGAATAAAGGACCCACGGACAAGGACAACGGTGGGGAGGATTGAGTGTGGGGCAGTGGGCAGGCCAGGGGAGAGCAGTGGGGGCGGGGTGGGGAATGGGGACAGCTTTAATTGAACAAGAATTTTTAAAAATTAAAAAAAAAAAAGACTTTAGAATATGTTGATGGCCAGGAGCTCAAATTCCAGAGTCAAGTTCCAGTCATGGCTTGGTCACTTGCTAGCTATGTGACCCTAGACAAATTACCTCTTTACTCATCTGTAAAATGGGATTGAGGATATCTAGCAACATAGCAAGCAGTTGATAAATAATAGCTAATATTAATCTGAGTGGAGTCTTGAAAGACATGTGATTTCTAACAAACGGTAATGAGGAAAGGAACATTCCATCCTTGGGGACCCCATCGTAGAAAAGAGCTGGGAGACCAGAGAACACACAAAATCTGTTGAGGAAGTAGACCGCACCTTGGGGAGGCTGGTGGGAAATGAGGTTGGAAATGCGGATAAGAAGGGCCGTGAGAGCATGCGTTTCCATCCGATCCTTCGCCCCAGCTTCGCCACACTTGACCTCGAGCTGTCAGCTCAGTGCTGTCCCTGAGCCGTCTCCCACAGGGTCTCTGAGTTTTGCACACATTTCTTCTGTCTGGAAAGGTGTCTGCTTCTACTCTGCTTCTTAGGCATGTTTTAGGCAAAACACATATTTGACCCCAAGGAGTAGGGAACTGGTGTGCTTTTATGCCTTTTTAACTCTCCTTTTGAAAGCAGTGTTTTGGTTTCTCCCACAGTATTCTGAAAAGGAGGATAAGTATGAAGAAGAAATTAAACTCCTGTCTGACAAACTGAAAGAGGTGAGTGATCACATCCAGCTGGTCAAGTTCCTCCCGGCGCTGGCCTTGAAGCCATCGTAGTAACTCCGGTCTTCTTCCTTAGGCCGAGACCCGTGCTGAATTTGCAGAGAGAACAGTTGCCAAACTGGAAAAGACAATTGATGACCTGGAAGGTATGAAATTACCGCCTACTTGTATTTGCTCTGCCTCCCCCTCCCTGGCACATCCACAGAGAGTTGGGGGAAGTCTGTGCAGGGGCTGAGCTGGGCCGTGTTCACTTTAGGATAGTAAAGTGAAGAGCGATGTCACATCTGGAAGTCTGGGGCACTGGAATCTATAGTGCAAATCAACTTCAGGCGTGGGTTGCCATTTTTCAAGAAATAAAATCTCTCTTGGTAATTAGCTCCACATGTGAGTACAAAGACCCAAATATGGCCGATGTTTAAAAAAAAGAAGTCCTTAGAATTTTCTCCCATTTCCTCATTTCTGAGAGGTGCCTTGCATTTTTTAGATGCCTTGCATTTTTGCAGAAGCTCTCTCTCCCAGAGAGCTCAGAGCTTATCACTATGTGAGAAAACGGAAATACAGACAAGTAGAGACTAAATAAAGACTCCAGTCTGCAAGCCTGGTGCCCACAGATCCCAGAATTTCTTGTAGAGTTCCAATTTAAAAAAATACTCTGTTCTTCATGAGATAATTCAGGACTGTCCAGATCTTGGGGTTCAGACAGAATCCCCAAGCTGCCTTTCACCCAGAAAGGATGCAAAGCTCATTTCTCATACCGTGTGTCAGGAGTGTGGTTTGGGAAATGAGGTTTCCATATACAGCGAATGCTCCTCTTCCGAAGTATGACCTTTGAACTGAGTGACATCGTTGAAAGTCCAGAACCACCCAAGGTAGGAGACGGGTGAGGAGAAATTCTGTAGTTTCTGGTCACCTCTCTTTTCAATGGTTCATTCTAATTCCCTGCAGAATCTCAAACTACTCAGAGGTCCCTCTGTCGCTCTTTTGCTTTCTTGTTTGTTTTCCATACGTCACAACTTCCTCTCAGTTCATGCTTTGTTTTCTCACTCTTTTTCCTTCCTCTCATTGCTCACCTGTGGCACACCATTCCGACCCTCGCGCTCTGTCCCCTGTACCTCTTCTGAACTCTCTCCCTGGGGACCTCCACCCTCTAGACGAGCTGTACGCTCAGAAGCTCAAGTACAAGGCTATCAGCGAGGAGCTGGACCATGCTCTCAACGACATGACCTCTCTCTGAGAGGCAGCAGGGGGGCTGCCCCCTGTCCTAGCCACACTGCCGTCTGCCTTCTCACTGTGGTGCCTGCGCTCCCATGAGCTTCTAGAAGCTCCCCATTTCCTCCTCCTGGTTTGATCCCTCAAGCCGCCTTCTGCTGCGTCTGTGACTGAAATAAAGACAGGCGATCCTTACCTGCATGCCCTCCTATTTTCATTTTCTCCACTTGCCGCTTTTGAGCCGTAGCTGCCGTGACGCCCTTGACCGTGGCTGCAACAGAAAGTGGGCAGTTCAAATGAAGAGCTCACTTCAGAAAGAAAATTGTGCCCACATGATTCTTTGCTGATGGCGTGAAAACAAAAGCCAGTTTGGCACGAGCTCGCAGACGTGGGGTTAGCTAACTGTATCTGCGTGCCAGTAGCTGTTTTTCCCTAAACAGAAATTGTTTAGAGTGGAGATTCATCCACCCTCTTAAGCAGCTTCACAGAGTCAGCAGGACCTGCAGGAACCAGCAGGCTTCTGTCTTTGAAAAGAGGCTGTCTTTGAATGGGGTTGGCTGTATGGATTCAAACAGCGGCAACACATTTTGGTCTCTATTCCATTTTGCGCTTGTTTCTGTTACCCTCTGAGAGCGGTGCCTGGGCTTCCCTATGTGTCCATGGCTCATGGGCCATCTCTCCAGCTCTTGGTCCTGGGAGGAAGTTCACCCATGAGGCTCTCCTCTACGCCTTGCCCTGGAAAACTACCCTACAAGGAATGAAAGAGCATCCCATTACTGGGGAAGGGGAGAGGAAGCTGCTGGCGTGACAGAAAAAGGAACTCAGGTGATCTTTCCTGAGTTCCGGACAAAGTCACCTGAGATGCTAACATCTCCCTCCCCTCATACTTGAGTTACTAGAACCAGGAACCTTGCTTTGGTTGAAGAAGAACTGGTTAGCCTGTGGGTATTAAAAGGTCATGTTTACAGTGACCGAAAACTCACAGATTTTTCCAAGAAAGTCCAGATTTCGAAGTCTGTTCAGCCCTCCCCTCCCCTCCACCACCACTACCTCCTGCTGCCCCAGTAACTCTGACACATTGATATCTAAGCTGTGTCTTCCAGACTGCCCCTCAAACCTGAAAATGGCATGAAAATCTCCAATTAGCCTCAGTTTTGGGTCCCTATAGTTTGCTATTCCTCATCCTGTTTGATGTTGGCACCTCTGTTCCGATTTTTCTTTATAGTCACTGCTCCAAAGTACATCTCCCATGAACAACCCATACGCATCCATCCCCAGCATCTCCCTGTTTCCAACTGCCATCCGCCGGGAGCCCCGGCACAAACCACTCCCGTGGCGCCCTGTCATACATCCACCCCTGTGTGGAGGCGGGTGTATTCTCTCCGCCCTCTCTGTGTATTTGTTCCTGGGATCTTTCCAGCCTCCACCCTTCGAAACAGCCATAGCCCTGCTTCTCTAGTCATTCTGCCTCGCCAAGCACCCAAGTGGAGCCTCATGGGTGGGATTGGGCTGTGGAGACCGACCACTGCCTGTTGACAGCCTGTGGGCCTTTCGTGGTTCTCAAGGGCAATTACAGTAACACTTTCAAGGAAAGTTACTTTATCTCAGGCCTAATAGCAAAAGTAGATGCCAGGGATCCAGTGACAAGGTGAGGTGAGGTCAGGATTTATCGTTGGGGTATCTGGGTTTAGAGTCTAGCTCTACCACATTATCTGTGTGGCCTTGAACACGCTACTGCGCTTTTCTGCAAAATAAAGGGAGTATCTTAGCTATTGTGAGGATTAAGTGAGAACATGGAGAAGTGGGTTCACACAGCAGTAGGCTTTCAATCCCCAAGTGTCCTTCCTGACTGGACAGGCCTGGCTCACTGCTGCCTCTCTGCGGGGAATCCTCCCTGATCAGAGTGGCTGTTTCTTTAAGCGCCTCCTCGAATGAGAGTTCTGGGGTTGTATTTGAAAGGCGGCCATCTTGTGCACTTTTTTTCTTCTGAAAATTTCCACACTGATCCTATCACATTTTATGAGACATTTTGCTTCCCTTCAGTATTTTAATGAGTCTTGGCCTAGTCCCTTATCAGCCATCACTCATGGCAAACCAGTTCTCCCTCGTGTTTGGTCGTGCATAGCTCTGAGTGGCATCTTACCTTTTTTGAAAAATGTGTTTCGTCAGCTCAATCACTTAATAACATACCCATAGCTTGGCTTAAATTTCAATCACGTTGCATTTCCCTGGGTTTGACTACATTGCTGTGGACACAGAGACACAATACTGTATTTTGCTGTGTATGATGCATGCTTTTTGCCCAAGTTTTTGAGGGAAAATAAGGATGTGCCTTATAAGTGGGTAGTACCTGAAATACCTTGTATTTGTTCTTGTGTTTGGTAATTATTTGTTACATAAAATTTCTTGTACCATAATGTTAAAAAATGAATGCTAAAATTCCTTTATATTACAAAAAAACAGGTATCTAAATATAAATAAATTAAAAACGGATTAAAAAATTAAAAGATTTTTTTCTCCTGAAAGTTTGGGCCAAAAACGTGGGTGCACATTATATGCCACAAAATATGGTAACACAATTAATGCCTGGAAGTTCAACAGCCATTCCCAGAGACTCCAAAGGAAAGATGGGTCACAGGGTTATATCTCTCTCCCAAAAGCTCAAGGACTAATTAACTGGCCTTTACGGGAGAAGTGTATTAAGTCACCCATATCTAGGACTAAAATCTTAATGTCTGTGTAACATTTCATAGGTTCTGAAGCACTTCTCATTTCTCATAGTAACTCGCAGTGGTGTTGTTATCCCCATTTGATGGATGGGGAGACTGAGACCTAGCAAGAGTAACTGGTGCAGCTGGGGCTTGCATCCCAGTGTTCTGACTTGAGGATTGCCAAATACAGTAGATTAAAATATAGACCACCCAGTTAAGTTTGAATTTCAGTTAGGCAATGAATAATTTTTTGGCATAAAGTTTATCTCATGCAACATTTGGGATATACGTATACTAAAAAACTTACTTGTTTTCCCGAAATTAAGATTTACCTGAACACCCCGTATTTTATCCTGCAATCTGACCTGACTCCCAGATTTGGAACTTCAGCAGTGTTATTCCATGGTGTTCTATTAAAATTAAAAGGCACAGTCCCTTCTCTGCTATGACATCTGCTCTGGTGTATGGATTTTAAGAAACCTTCTCCCCCCGCCCCTGCCTTTAACAAAGATGCTTATTAAATTATTTTTCTCCCCAGAAAAACTTGCCCAGGCCAAAGAAGAGAACGTGGGCTTACATCAGACACTGGATCAGACACTAAATGAACTTAACTGTATATAACCAAAACCAGAAGAGTCTTGCTCCAACAGAAGCTCCAGACCTCCATGTCTTTCTCTTCTCTTGTAAGAAGTTTCTTTTGTTACCGCATCTGCGCAAATTATGAATATCTGACCAAATATTTTGTATCAGAGAAGCTTTGAGCACCAGTTTAATCTAATCCCTTCCCTTTTCTTCCCAAATGGCACCAGATTTTTCAGCTCTATTTTTATTCTTAAATTGCATTTATTTCTAAGCTGGGCAGGGTATTTCTTACTGAACATTAGACTTTTGAGACTGAAGGCATTTGGTTCCCGGGAGATTAGACAAACCCATATTTTAAAAGCACAGATTCTAACATCTAGTCACTGGTCAGTGTAAAATGTTGGAGAACAGAACCTCTGGGCCACCATTGCACACACGACAGGAGGCCAGGGACCATCGCACTGAAATGGGTGGAGGTTTTCCATCTAGAGCAGAAATAGGGGGGTTGGGCTGCTGTGGGGAGCCACAAGCCAGAGATAGATTAACCTAAGCATTCCTTTTCCACACTCTTCCGTGCAGAACTCTGAACAGTCAGCATGAGAATGCTTGAGAAATAGCCATAACAATTACTCTGCTATGAGGCCATCCACTCAGCAGGAATGAATATGGTGGAATTCAGTCCTGTTCAGGAAGCCATGTCAAAAAAGACTGCTAGCCATCAATAATTGAGCAAGTGCATTTTTTAATTAAATATTAGGCAGAAGGGGCCTCTCACAGCAGAGATAAGTAACTGGCCCAACTTCATCTCTTCTGTACTTTAGGGAGTGGTAAATTTAAAGATATACTTCTCTAGGACTTTAATGCCTTTAGTCAGGACCAAGTTAATAAAAGACCAGGAGACTCCTGATTCAACTGGATATGGAGTATTTTATAGACAGGGCTGCATGTTTGGCTTTGTTGTATTTTTGCTTTTTCAGTTAACATCTCAGCTGAAACATTCCATATTCCCCAGCAGTGTGGGGGGCAACTCAAGTTTACAATTCTGACTAAAAATCGCCCTGCTTCTAGCTTACCCAACTCCTCTGCCCCTCACTCCTATTTATTGCGCATCACACTACCCAGGAGATACACTAGCAAATTGTGCAATTGAATAAAACCCACTTTTCATTTAGATTCTTGCGACTGTATCATATGTAATAGTATCACTTTTTCTACATTTTGGTCAAATAAATTTTTACATAAACTACAATTTGTGTGAACTTAAGAATGTGTGGGGAGATGTAAGGAAGGCCTTTTGGGTCATCAAATGTGAGGGGGATGGAGAGGTCATTGTGCTATGAACTTAGCAAATTTTATTTATTGGCTTTATACCACAACTTCATGATGTAAGGATTATAATCCCTTTATTAGAGCGTGAACACTTTCAGTAACTCAAAAGCTCCTGTCCTGTGTTGTCCTCAGTCCTCCTGAGCCAGGCTGTGAAGAGTGAGTAGGATTTAAGAGATGGGATAGGAGCAGGCCTGCCTGGGAAAGGTTGTCTGGATGTTGCATATATACAGGAAAGAAAGGGAAGCTGGTGGGTAGGCGGGGTCCACCTTGCTGAGAGCCTGAACTTAAAATTTGGTCAGGAGTGGAGAGCCACTGACATGAGGCGAATCCACGTAGCGTTCATTTCCAGAAAGGACTGAAAAGGGGATAGACTAGAGGCAGGAAGACCAGTTAGAAAGATGTTTCAATTGTAGTGCTTGCCATGGAATAAGAAGAAAGAAGTGATCCGAAGGATGTAATCTTAAGATTTAGCTGACTGGATGGCAGGGAACTTAAGAAAGTGTCAAAGTGACTGCAGTTGACCTACCTGAATGGCTTTGGTATTTGCCTCAAGATCAGAACTTGGGGAAAGGGGGTAGGGAATCAAAAAGAAGTGAAAACCTTTAAAGCATGGATGCAGTATGCAAGCAGTGTTTTCTTGTACAACTGAAAGCACTGCCTGGTTTCTTCAAGCAATGTATCAAGTACAACTGAAAGCATTGCCTGCTGTCCAACATTTAGCTGACACTGAGCTTGGTTAGATGGTAGATGAGAGTGTCAAAAATATATAATCCCCTCCTCTAAATACCTATCACTACTAGATTGAAGTCCCGTCTCCCTTGTCCCACTGCCTTGGGATCTGTTCTAATCTCAGGATATTGTTTTAGTCATCCTTGTGCTTGAGCACTTCACGCAATTGTCCAATGTTTCTTAAACCCACCCATCTCGGCTCTGGGGGAGTTCCCAGTCCCATGAAGTGTGAGTGGAACACCGGGTGGGGTTAGGATCGGGTTGTGAGGACTTGATCTTGCCCACCAACCGTGGATGGATATTGGGTAAGTTTTAGAATGAGTACGCTGCAGGGTCGAATCTGGATTAGAGGATGACTGGGGAGACCAATGGGAGGTGTGACAATCTGAGGGCAGTGGGAACAGAGCAAGATTCAAGAGCTACCTAGAACCTCTGAGAGCCAGGGTGTGCGGGATGAAAGGAAAGTCTTAAAGACAATTTAGGTTTCAGGCAGAAGGGAATTCAGGATAAGATAGTGTGAGTAGGTGATGAGGTCAGTTGTGGACATGCTGAATTGGAAGGACCTTTGACAAATCCAATGGCAGATGCTGAGAAAGCAGTTGGACACGGAGAAATGACTGGGCTATGGAGTCTTGAGGTGAGAATCACCAGTACTAGCAGCCATGGGGTGAGTGAGCTCACCCAGAAAATGAATGAGTAAGAACGATGAGACACACGGACGTCTCGGGAACAAGTAGAAACTACCCTAAAGACTGCAAGGGGATTTGGGAAGCAGCACCCGGAGAAGAGGTGTAGGTGGCAGATGAAGAAACAGGATGTAAAATGGGGAAAATGGCAAGAAAAAGAATTGCTGGAGTAGGTGGTCAATAGCATCAAATACCATGGGGGGCTGGAGCCTACAATGTGGTCTATGGCTTTGGTTGAAGCTTTTCCTAGACAAGATTAACAGGATGAGCTGAAGTGCAGGGGAGGAGAGCCCAAGGCCATCGCCTGAAAGGTCGTCCTCACACAGGAAGCAGTGAGGCCAAGCAGGACATTTGGTCCATCTCTGAGAAGCAGGAAACCTTAGTGATCAAGACCTTGGCCTCAGAAGTTTGTAGGTCTGAATTCAAAACCCAACTTGCCCAGTTTGGGGCCTGGGAAAGTCACGTAGCACCTTTGGCCTCAGTTTTCTCACCATAAAAAGGTTGTTAAACAGTAGTTCCTACTTCAGTGGGTTAGGATGGGGAATTAAACATTTGGGGGGGGTTTATAACTGTTTCCACCACTGGAAGGCATAGAACCAACGTTCCTAAATACTACCTGGAATTCTCACTATCCTAACCCATTGGGCAGGTTTTGAGCCCCAGACGGCTGACTAGGTTGGGGCGGGCGAAGCTCCAGGGTAAAAACTGGAGGCAGTGTCCTGGAAAACCTCTATATTATAAGGTCCGAGGCGGTCCTGAATTGTGTCTGTTCGCTCAGGCGGCAAAGGCCTGGGATCTTTAAGGAGGTCGTCCGACCAGCGCCGAGATCCCGGAGAATGCCTCAGGGGTGGCCTCGCTACGTCTGTGACGAGCCCCCAGCTCTCTTTAGACTCTCCTGTCCCGACGCACACGCCTCCAAACCGCACTGCCCGAGCCACGGCGCCTTCCCGCGCTCTCCTAGGCGCCTACAGAGCCTGCGCAGACCAAGAAGGCGGGAGCCACAGGCCCCACGCGCCTACGCCCTCTGCTGGCGTCTAACGGTTTCCCCGTCGCGCGTGCGCAAAATTGCACCGCCCTCGACCTACGGGGGCGCGGAGCGGTTGGCGAGGCTCCCAGCGTGCCCCCTCCCCTCTGGGAGCGAGGCGGGGACTCCCTAGAGTCCGGGGAAGAAAGCGGGGACACGGGGTGCCACGCCCCTTGCTCTGGTCATCATTTGAAGCCCCTCGACTCCTCACTGCTGGCCAATTGCAGCCCGCTCTGTCCCGATCGTCGGCCAATGAGTGGCGCTCTCGGGTCGCTTCCGGCTTCGCGCCCCGCTCGCCCCTTCCCCACGTCTCCCAGCGACGGGCGGGGCGCGGGGGCGGTCGTCAGTCGCGGTGACGCGCGGCGGGCTGGGAGCCAATGGGAAGCGTACTTGGCGTTGATGGACAGGGCCAGCGGCCAGTGGCGAGGCACTGGCCGCACTTCCCGTCGGGGAGAGAGTGTAATATGGCGAAGACCTACGATTACCTGTTCAAGCTGCTGCTGATCGGGGACTCGGGGGTGGGGAAGACCTGTGTCCTGTTCCGCTTCTCCGAGGACGCCTTCAACTCCACTTTCATCTCCACCATAGGTAGCGGGGCTGGGGAGCGACCGGGGTCGCTGGAGGCTGGGCTGGGCGCGCCCTTGAGAGACTGGGGTTGCGGGAGCGGCCGGGCCGGACGGACCCAGGAATCTAAGAGGGTCGAGAGGTTTGGAGTGGGGAAGAGCAGCGGCCTCGGCCGCCGTTCGGGGCTTCATGGGCCATGGTGGGGGAACCAAATGCCCATTTTGCAGATGAAGAGACTGAGGCGCCAACTTTCAGACCGCTCTTCAGGGAATGTATGTCCTGGGCTGGGGCCTTGGCGCCCCTCATCTCGTTCGATGCTCACAACAGCTTTTGAAGCTGTTCTTTCAGGATCTCTGTCTTGCAGAAGTGAAACTGAGGCATGAGGAGTTGGCTAGTCACGTCTGACATTAAGAATTTACTGTGTGCCAGGCGCTATATGTTCATTGTCACACTTTCCAGTCCTCTGTGTTAGGTCTGTTATGAGCCCATCTCGCAGATGAGGAATTTGAGGCTCAGGGAGGCTTGGGACTTGACCAAGGTCATAGTCTGCAGGTGGCAGAGACAGGATTTGAATCCACGTGTCTGATCCCATAACCCAAAGCTCAGCCACCCGAGAGAGTGGGAGCACAAGATGGGCACAGCTGATCCATCTTGGAGCCAGGACTCTAACCCAGATCTCTTCTGCTCTTTCCTCTGGAATATACAGGAGTTAAGCTTCTTCTCTCCCATGGGTGAATTTCTTCCAGGAGGAATGGTGAGAGGGAATCCAGAGCCTTTCCCTGCCCTGCCTTCTGTCCCACTTGGTCACAGCAATGGCAAGTGACAGCTGCCTTCCCTGGGACCTGTCATCCCCGAGGAGATGCTAGATAAAAGCTTCCCTGAGAAACCAAAATCAGCCACTGCTACAGACAGCCCAGACTTCCCTATTGCTAAGCCCAGGACACCAGTTGTCACTTGCAGGACAGCGTTTCCTGCAAGGCCAGCTCACGTTATAGCTGAACAGGAATTGGCTTGTTGCTTTTCAGTTCCAACAGTCACAAAAGTGGAGCTCACTTCTCCCCATGCCACAGAAAAATCTGTTGCCCACATGAAAAGTTTTGACCTGGGTATAACACCAATCTATGCAGCTTTGCCCTGCAGTGTGGAAATGGAAGAGCAGTTGCCAAGCCCAGGAATGGTTTCTGAATGGAGAAAACCTAGGGGACAGGCTCTGCCTTAGGCCTGTGTAACTTGAATCCAATCAAGTTATCACCTGAACCCCTCAGTGGGCTGCTGATTGCTCTCCTTCAGGAGCTGCACTTTACAAAATAATTAGGTGCCAGGTGGCAAGTAGAGGAAATGTTCATGCTTGATGTCCAGCTGTTGTTCACTCTTGAACAATCACTTCACCTTTCTGAGCCTGTTTCTTCAGTTTAGGGGTGGTGCTCTCTGCCTTGCTCTGTGCCTTCAGTGGTTGAAGATCAGAACTGTACAATGAGTAGGAGGTCGTCTTCACTGCCGGGGGTGGGGTCTAGGGGAAGCAGAACAGTAGTAAAAGCAGTTGTCCCCAGGGCCCAGGTGTTTCTGTTTCCTCCCCTTCCCAACTCCAAGGTCAAACTTTGGGATAACCCTTGTGCTCCCACCAATCAGGAAGTGATGTTAACACCTAACAGGCAGGCAGTGGGTCACTCAACTCTGATCTCACTTTCCCAGTATCAGAAACTTTCTGTTCTGTGCAAGCACTAGTAAGATCAATTCAGGGGTGGGTTTTTTGTTTGGTTTCTGATTCTTGACCACAAAACCCAGGCTGGCACTTCAGAGCTCTCAGGGGGTGTCCTCCACTTATGGAAGAGGCCATGACTTGGTCAAGGTTACTTAGGAAGGTAGAGGTGGCGCTTGAACCCAGGATCTTACCCGTCCACTCTGTTTTCGCTTTCCAGGAAAGTTTAATTTAGTCTGACCTTGAAGTTACAGCCTCATAATTCTTAGGCCTTGTAAAGTTTGCGCTTCCTAATTAAATTTGGTATGTTAATAAAACCCAGAAGGAGAATATGGCAGAGTGATGTGGGGCTCTGCCGATTGAGTGGTGCTTCTTTTTTAAGATTTTACTTATTTATTTTTAGAGGGGAAGGGAAAGAGAAAGAGAGGGAGAGAAACATCGATTCTCTTGCATGCCCCCAACTGGAGACCCTGCCTGCCACATAGGCATGTCCCCTGACTGGGAATCGAACCAGTGACCCTTTGGTTCACTGGCTGGCACTCAATCCACTGAGCCACACCAGCCAGGGCTGAGTGGTGCTTCTTGATTCCATAGGGCCTCATGCATCTGTGATGGGGAAGTGGCTGTTGTAGGAAGGGTTGTTACTGGGTCACCTAGTCTCGAGATGCGACTTAACGTATAAAGGGATTCTCCATTGACACTGAGTGTACCTCTGGGTTTTCTTTATAGATCAGGGATTAAGTGGCTGTTCATTTTCAGCCTAGATTACATTCTGCCAAACCCTGTTCTTGTAGCTCCATCGATTGTGGTGTGAACTTAGCCCTGTGGCTACCGGAATTGGTTCTCCCTGGCCTGGCTCAGCCCCCACCCCCACCTCCTCAGGACCCCATTCATTCACTTCCTCAGGGAGATGGGTGGCATAAGGGAGGGTGCTATGTAAACCGTGCTGCACCACGTAGGTTCCATTACTCTTCATTCTTTTTCTTTTTTGGATTTTATTTTTTAAGAGAGGGGAAGGGAGGGAGAGAGGGAGAGAAACATCAGTGTGTGGTTGCCTCTCGCAGGCCGGTGCTCAATCCACTGAGCCACACCAGCCAGGGCCATTACTCTTAACTCTTTCATTGAGCCATCTTTCCCTGACGCCTGCTGCATCCCAGGTGTCCGCCTCGGTGTGGCAGCTGGAGAGATGACGCGGGTAAATCTGAGGGAAGCAGAGCTGTCGCCAGGCCTGTAGTCAAGGTGTGCGTGCAGGGCTCGGCAGTTGGCTTCTAGAAAGTACCTATTCAGCCCCTGCCACACTTCCCCTGGATTCACAGCCATAGGAAACAGATTTTGAGTCTGCTTTCCTGGAGCTTATGGTCCAGTGGGCACAATTCAAGTGCAAGCTTATATTCTGTGTGGTCCCCAGAACAGACCCTAAGGCAGGCAGGGATGGAATTAGCATTGCTGGCTTCTGAGGGTTCAAGTCAGGTAGGCCTGAGCCCCAGGGCTCATGGCAGAGATTTACAACACACTGCCAGAGGCAGAGGCTGCGCTTGGCCGTTTCCCTTCACACAGGCCATTCAAAAAGGCAGATTTTGCTCCTAATGTTTATGGAGCAAATAAGCAAACACACAGTGTCAGGGATAAGTACATGATGAAGAAAAAGTAGGTAGGGGAGAGAGAATGAGGGTCAGGAAGGCTCCCCAGAGAAGGCGACTTGACGGGGATCTGAGAAGGGAGAGGGGGAACGCCAGGTGAGCATGGAAGGAAAGACCATTCCAAGGGAGGGAAGAGTAAGTGTAAAAGCCCGAGGCCCGTGAGTGCTTGGGATGGTTAGGAAACAGCCACGTGGGCAGTGTGGCCAAGATGTGGCTGGAGAGGGGGCATGAGCTGTGGGTGCCGAGAGGGGACCAGGTTAGACAGGGAACTGTTTTCACTTTATTCTGGTGCCGAGGGCACGGTGAGAAGTGCTGGAAAGGTGTTGCGGTGTTTTGTAACAGTTTTATTGAGATATAATTCATAAACTATACAAATCACCCATTTAAAATGTACAGTTTGGTGGCTTTTACTCTGCTTACAGAGTTGTGCAACCATCAGCACCATTGACTCTAGGACAGTTCATTATCCCAGAAAGAAACCCCAACCCCTTAGTCACACCAACACCCTGCCCTCCAACTCCCAGGGCCCATCTCCTCGTTCCTCTCACAGCCCCTGGCAACTGCTAATCTCCCTTCTGTCAGTCCTTCATTCCTTTTCATGGCCGAGTAATTTTCCACTGTGTGGATGGGACCACATTTTGTTTATCCACTTATGCACTGGTAAGCCCACTGGAGGGTCTGGAGCAGGCGTTCGCTTTGTGATACGGTTGAGTTTGTGTTTCCAGAAGCTGGGGAAGGGACTGAGGGAGCAACGGGGGGAGCCTGGAGAGCAGCCGAGGAGGCTGAGAGGTCGCCCTGGTCCTGTGGAAAGGGACAGGTGGGGAAGAGGCGGGCAGGGTCAGGAAGGCTTCTTGGGAGGTGACCTTAAAGGGGCTCTCAAAGGAGAGAAGAGTTTGCCAGGCTGAGAGGTAGGCAGGGTGGGGATCACTGCAGAGAAGGAACCGTATGCACAAAAGCTTGAGGCCTACTGATGTCAGTGGCACCTTGGGGCCCCTTGCCCTGAGTCCCTGAAGGGCCGGGGCGCCGTGGCGGGAAGTGTGGGTGTCTGGCCTGCAAGGGCTCTGCTGGGCCCACTCCTCAGCCTGCCTGTTGGAGGAGGGAAGAACGCGAGGTTTTGGCATCTGAGCTACTAGCTTTGCTCACCAGCCCTGCCAGCTGCCAGATTCACTCTGGGCAACACCTGTCCACCCTCTGAACCTCTGCTTCCCCTTCCCTGCAAGGAGAAAGTTCACCAGGTGCCTCCTGATTTGTTGAGAGGATTTCGTGATCTTCCGTGCCCGGCGCTAGCCGTGGCAGCTGATTCCTGACAGGTTGGCAGTACCCACCTCAGACGCAGCTTGGAGAATGGGCTGACTGTGATGTGCCTTTTTTCCTTTTTTCTTTCAGGAATTGACTTTAAAATTAGGACCATAGAGCTCGATGGCAAGAGAATTAAACTACAGATATGGTAAGAGCCCTTGCCGTCTTCAGTGCCTTCACCTGGAGAACGCTACAAGCAGAAGCCCCTGGTGTCGCCTCCCACCCCCTGTGACCACAGCCTCCATCTCTGTGCCCAGCCTAGACACTTTCCTCAGAAGCCTCATGAACTGTGCCCTGCTGGCTGTTAGGGCCCAGAGTCTGTGTCAGCACCTCCTGGGGATGTAGCCACAAGGCCCGTGGGCTTGGCATTTCAGTGTGGCCACAGCGTGGGTCTGGGTCTCAGAGTGGGCTGCTCGCCTTGAGCGTGGAGAGCGCCCCTGTGCCTGGCGGCGCTGGAGGCTGCCAGGAGGGTGAGGTGCCCCGGCCAGCATTTCCTCCTGAGCCCCTCGGCTCGAGAAAGGCCTATGTCACTTCCTCTTTTCTCCCCCATGGCAGCCCAGACCTCACTTCCTAACATGCAGATCTGAAACCCCAGAGCCTAAAATAAGCTGAGGCTGCGCCCAGTGGTGAGACTCGTTTCCCTTCCACTCACCTGAACCGGACCTCGGTGCCGCGTAAAATTGGAGAAGTGTGAGTCCCTGACACTGGTGCGGGTCTGCAGCCCGCAGCTCTGGGGGCTCGGGCTGACCTCGGAGGGTCAGCTGTAGGGGACCCTGCCATGCGGCCATGTCATTGGCAGGGAAGCACGAGCCCTGAGCAAAATGAAGTCATTTTTTAAATAGGGCGGCACCATTTGTTCAGCCCAGGAGAGTGCCTGTGGGTGGGACGGGGTGCCGTGAGGTGGGCTGCAGAGCTACCCCCCGCCTGCTGTAGCTTGATCTTCCTCATCCTCAAACCTCAGAGCACGAGCGTCGCCCCAGCTTGCTTCACAGCCCCCTCGACGTCAGCGGTGTTCACCGCTGGGTCTCATTGCAGAACCAGGATGAGTCCTAAACCCTTGCCCATCGTGTGCCAGCTCTTGCCACCTTGTCGGTTATAAGCCATGCAAGTTTCCTCCCCTTAGAACTTGTGCTCCCAGCAGCCTTGGTGCCCAAGTCCAAAGTGACATTGCACCAACAGGCAGAGTTTTGCTCTCCTTTCCTCCCATCTTCCTGCTTCTGCTCTTAGCATTCTCAGTGGGACTAGTGACTTTCTTAAAACTGCTAGACTGGGCCATGGTTGAGAACAAAATGATTCACCACAAATGTCGTCTGCTGTTGGCGTCAGAAAGTCAGCTTGGCCCCATGTGAGGCTGAGTCTAGGCCTGCAGAGCCCTCCTGGGGCGGCGGGCGCAGAGTCACAGGAGGAGCCTTGCATCCACAGACAAAAGACATTGTTCTGGCTCTGCCACCCATCCGTTAAGTCGCCTTTAAGCCTAGCACTGAGTGCCCTCCATGCCAGGAGCCAAGCTGGGCACAGGCCTGTCTTACCCAGGTACCTCCTCCATACCAACAAGAGAGGACTTTCTCCCTGGCCTCCACCGAGGTGGTGTGGGAGTGCTTCCTGAGCTCCCGTGGAGGTTCGCAGCTCAGCCCCCCATGTGGCTGGGTTCCCGTGCCACACGACCAACCCCTTTCACATTTGTGGTCCCAGATTTTCACAAGTGATAACGTCCAACCGCGGCTCGTCTGTGACCCTGAAACTCCGAGTTGAATCATCAGGAAGCAGAGGTGCAGAAGAGTTGGCTCTGCTGAGTTGTCATCATCTGTGTCCATCCTTTCCCGCCGCCCCCACCCCGCCCCCCGCCGCCCCGCTGGAGACAGCAACAGGTTCCCAACCCATCTAAGCCGTAATTTCCTTCCCTGTGAGAACAGGGAGAGTAGGGAGTGCTGCCCGCAGCATGACAGTGAATCATTTGACGCATGAGAAAGCCAGGCGTCCATCCCTGCTAAATGCCTTTCATTCCCACTGTGACAGCGCCACTAATATCCCTTCTCTTTGTCTTTAGGGACACAGCTGGCCAGGAACGGTTTCGGACGATCACAACAGCCTACTACCGGGGCGCCATGGTATGGAGTGGTGGTTACTGTTTATGAGTCAGTGAAAGTCACTGCTTGGATACCAAAATCTGGCCGTTTCTGAGGAATCCTGTGCTTTGGCTCCTTGGGGGTCCTTGGTCCTGGGTTAGTTTTAGGAAACGGCTGTGTGCCCCTCCCCCGTGTACACATATCCCCTTCTTGCTTCAGAGACAGTGCAGGGTGTAAGGAAACCTAGTTCTTTGGGAATGAGGGAAGAGGCAGGAAGCCGGTTCTTCCAGGTGAGGTCAGTGAAATCAGACGGCACGCCCCAGCACCTAGGAGTGTTCACTTGGCCCGCATCAGTCTATGGAAGTTGCTACCGGAAACTTGAAGGTGGTCCAAAAGCTGACTTGCTCTGGGCCGTTGGCTGTTACATTGCCTGGGCCTGATGTGGGGTGATGTGATCAGAAGGCTGGTTCATCATCCCTCAAGTATTTTTACTGAGCGCCTTCTCTAGGCCAGGCTTGAGCTGCATGCAGAGGGGGACTTGGAATGGGCCAGGGTCCTGCCCAAGCGGGCCCTGCGCAGGTCATGAATGTGTGAGGTGTGTACAAAGTGGGACCCTTGGGCCAGAGGAAACAGACATAGACCGACCCCCAGGACCTGGCTCAGCGCCCTGGGTCACCCTCTGAGCTCCGTCTCCTTACTTGCAAAGTGGAACGGAAACAAGGCTGTGTCCCAGGCAGCTGGGAGGATAGATGGCCATCTCCCCATTTTCAGATCCCACTGCACCCTGCCCTTTCCGTGGTGCGCCCCGTCATTTAACTGCATAGACTCCTGTGTCCTCCATTTGGCCATAAGCTCCATGAGGGCAGGGCCGGGTCTCCGTCACTGCCAAATGCCCTGCGCCTGGGACTGGGCTGAGGATGTGGTGGGAGCTCGGGAATGCAGCGGGCTGTGGAAATGAATGGAGGCATTCAGTGTTCACAGAGTGCCCCGCACAGTGTCTGAAACATAATAGAAACTCAATCACAGGGATTGCAACCTTAGCGTTCCTCATTAAAATTAGTTTACTCATTTCCCCTCACCTTGCCTTACTCTGGTGAGGCGGGGGCCTTAATGCGCTGGGGTCCTGGGGGAGCTTCTGCTGTGTGGCCTCAGGTAGGCTCTGCCCTTCTCTGAAAGCGTACCCCCTCCCACCCCCTTCACAAAGCCCATCCCTGTGCCCGGCACTGGGCTAAGGTCTCGGTCATAATTCCCTGATTCCTTCGAGTGTTGGTGCCATGGTTACCCCCACTGTACAGATGGGAAGGCTGAGGCTTGGCGCCATAGCATGTTCAGCTTAAGTTCATGCGGAGAGCACGTGGCCGGGCCAGTCCTAGCAGGCTCTGTGCAGCACCCACACCTGCAGCCCACCCCTGCCCAGGAGGGACTGAGCCACCCGTGAGAAGACTGTCCAGCACTAAGACTTGTGACTTGTGGTCCTCCAGACCTGCACTGACCCATGCAGAAGCCAGTAGCCATGTGTGGCTGTTTGAATTTAGACCTGTTAAAAAAGGAAATTTAGCTCCACAGTCACACCGGCCCCATTTCAGGTGCCCCAGAGCTGTGTGTGGCCAGCAGCGACCTCCTAGGACAGTGCAGAGAACGTTGCCACCATTGCTGCCCCATCGCGCTCTCTGTCTGTGTGGTACTAGACCATGGGGTCTCGAAAATGGAAGCATTGGATGTCTGGTGTCCCACTTTGAGCTTACAAACCGCTGTGGGGAGCTGTGACCAGAGAGGGGCCAGGAAAATGGTCACCTGGTGCTCCAAGCGGAGTTTCAGGGAGGACCTGGAATAGGGTGACACCATGTTTTCCAGGTCCTCCTGCTGGTTTCTGAGAGAGCTCTCTCCACTGCTCTCTTCACCACCCACCCCTGACCTAGAGATAAAAATCCAGGACCTTGGAATTTTAGCACAATGTGCCAACTTAGTGGCGGCAGTGAGAATCCTAGGCCGTCAGGGGGCCAGTCCCTGGATAAAGTGGTGGAAAGGCCTCACAGCCCTGTGGCGTTCTTGCCCCTGTTGGCCAGAGTGCAGCTGCTGGGCGAGACCCGCACTGTGCTCAGTCACGGACCTGCCCGCCAGTGGCTTCTGCTCATGCGCGCGCTGGCCAGGGCGAAGCAGACGGCAAGTCCCCTGAAGCCTTCTCTGAGGTTCCCCGTCAGCGGTCTCTGTTCAGTTCCCCAGGAGACCCTGGATGAGGGCCCTAGAAGGTGTTTTTGAGGGGCTGTGGCTGTGGCGGGATGTAAGGCCACTGTGCGTGTCCCTAAGGACCCTGTGGGGATTTGGAATTGCCCTGTCTCTGGTGCTGCCACACGCCCTTGCTCCCGAGGTTCTCTGCCCAGTGCACTCGGCTCGTGTTCTTACTCTGCAGACTCAGGGGACCTCAGAGATGACGTCTTGGCCACACCAGAGGTTTTGGGCCCAGGACTGGGCCCTGGGAGCGGGTAGTGTGAGGGAGTGGAGCAAGCCAGACCTGGGCAGGAACGCTGAAGCCGTGTGTCCCAGAGGCCAGGTGCTGAGCTGCACAGCGGCCGGGGGGCGGGGTGGGGGGGTGTCATGGGCACCCCTCAAGATCTCTGGAGGAACATGGGGACCAACCACAGGTGGCCCCAAGCGTTGCTTGGTCCTGAGGAGGACCCGGCGAGGTTCCTCATGGGAGCTGATATCATCAGCCGCTTGAATCTTAAAGGTCATTTCTCTCTGTACCTAAGTTCCCCCTCTAACAAATGGGGATGTTTGCCCCTGGCAGCGATGGTGAGATCATGGGCCCAGGTGGAGGCAGGGTCTCTGCGGCTCTTTGAGGACCCATGGCCCTTACCCAGACATGCACGCATTGGCTGTGGAACCACTGGGCCCCGGAGGTGCCGGCCCCGTGCTTGAAGCCGGCCCCCACTCTGATGTCAGAAGGCACAAGAGTGTCAGGATCAGGCTACCCAGGGTTCAGACCCCAGTTGCACCCTTTACGTTCTTGTGGGACCGGATACAGGGACCTAGCCCTATCACCCCGCAGCCTGAGGTTCCCCATCTGCAGAGTGGGGCTGTTGGGACCACCTGACCCGGGCCTGTGAGGCTTCAGGGAGCCTTCACTGCAGCACCTGGCCCGCAGGAGGAGCCAGATGCGGGGCAGTGCTGGGGCACCCAGACAAGGCGGCACTCCCTGAGTCCGGGAGGCAAATCGGGCTAGGGCTGGCGGATGAGCGAGGATGTGGAGGAAGACAAGCACAGCATAAGGTGGCATGGGGGGCGGGCACAGTGTGCCCAGAGCTGTGGAACACTGTGTAGGGTGGGGAGCTGTAGGACATCTTATCTTGCCTGCAGTGAGGGGTTAGCAAGGTCGTTCATGAGCATGGGTATGGTAGGGTCTGGTCTATGGGGTTAAGGTGACCCCTGTTAAGGGTCACCTGGGTGGCTGAGAGGGCAAGACTGGAGTCCAGGAGACCAGGGATAGGCTGGTGCTGGAGCCTAACAGAGGAAGAGAGGAGGGAGTTGTGAGGAGGGATGTCATGTCAAGGTCCCTGCTGCCCCTCCTCCCCCTTAGAGGGCTTGCAGCTCGTCCAGAGCATGTCTCTTGTCTCCCCTGCTCAGGGCATCATGCTGGTCTATGACATCACCAACGAGAAGTCCTTTGACAACATCCGGAACTGGATTCGGAACATTGAGGAGGTAAGGCTTGAGGGCCCTATCCACAAATGGAAGCTGCCCACTGATCCTCTCACACAGTTCTCACCCTGGAGCCTCCTGGCTTACAGATGAGGCTACTGAGGCAGAGAGACACCCACAGGGAACCATAGCCCAGGCAGCAGGCCCTGGAGACCACGCTGGCCTAGGCCTGGTCACAGAGTGTCTCGAGAGCCCATTTCCCCATCTGGGCTGTCCGTCTGATGGCGCCTCGTCGTGAGAGGAGTGATATACCCAGGCTCTTAGTCACAGTGAGCATTTGGTGCTTTCTAGAAAAGGAAGGTTCTAGAATTGGTCTTACCCTTGTCCGTGGAGGGTGTGGTGAGACGCTATATCAGGTGTACTTTGAGTCACAGCAGAGTGGAGTGTGAGCTGGGGTGAGCTCTCCGTGTTCAGGTCAGCAGCTCTCGAACCACAGCTGGCTTGAAAGGAGACCTTGGACCATGAAGGGAGGGGAAGGTGGCCAGCCCAACTCCACGTCCCAAAGCCAGTGTCGTCACCTTCCTGCTCCCCAAAGAGCTTATCTCCAAAGCCGCCTTGGACAAAGGTGCTTGCAGCTTTTGATGACTCACCAGGCGGGGAGTGGGTCTGAGGTGTGGCCCCGAGGACTTTCTCCTCCTGGGCAGCCACAGCAGAAGGTCACTCAGTGCCAGCCCTGGGGTGATGGGCAGGTGCACTGGGCCGCCTCCCCGCTGACTCGCAGTTGCTATCAGTAGGCTGTGCCTGGCTGAGAAGAACGGCCCGCGCTCATGGGGGTCTTTGTGGAAGTTTTGATTCTGGCCAGCAGGCGAGAGGGCCTCCCAGTTGGCAGGAAGTTAGGCAGGGAGCCACGCCGGGCATGTGAATGAGATCAGGTCTGAGCTGCAACAAGAAGAAGGTCCTGTACAGTGCTCAGGCCTTCAGGGAACCAGAGCCACTGGACTGAGGAGGGGGGCGGAAAATGGAACAGAGGTGCCGTTTTCAGGTGTGAGGGCAGAGTTAAGGGAATGCCAAATGATGGCAAAGCACGCAGGGCTGCCACCATCTCAGGCATGGCCCAGTCCGGAGCCCAAAGAGAGTGAGCTGGAACAAGGCAGAGGCTCCTAGAAGAGCAGCTGGGGCTCCCGGCAGAGGAGCCTGGGAGGGAGAGGGAGGTGAGCAGCGGTGCCTTCCATAGACGCCACCAGGAGCCTGGTGGGTGCAGCCCATAGAGAAGCCACCCTTGGCAGCCAGAAAGCATACACTTGGTCAGAGAGTAAGCCAGAACCCGATCCTTGGCCCTGGCGTTGGCCGTGCAACACGGGACAGGCCAATCAGCCTCTCTGAGTTTCAGCTTGTCCTCTGCATAAGAGCACATCTAGCATTCTGACCCCCCCGCACTCTGTTTTGGGGGTCAGGCCTCAAGGTGGTCTGTGGGCCAGTCTAACTGTGCCCCTCGCCTCCTCTGTCTGTCTTTTCCCCAGCATGCCTCTGCAGATGTTGAAAAGATGATACTTGGGAACAAGTGCGACGTGAACGACAAGAGACAAGTGTCCAAGGAACGGGGAGAGAAGGTGGGCATGGTGGCCGGCTTGGGCCTGGCACTGCCAGGCCCCTCAGGGCAGAGAGACCTTGGGATTTTGGGATTTCCTGCATGGAGGCCAGCCCTTCTTGCTCCACAAGGCTCCCCAATTTCTTCCTGAACCCCTCAGAATAGTGACGAGCATAAGGTAATCTACTGTGCTAGCTTGTCTAAGATTGGGGGAGCGAGGTCCAGGGCACATGACTTCGGCAGGCAAAAGAAGATAAGTCGGTCGCCCCACTGGGGCACTTGCCATGGGAAGAGAGTGTGGGAAGCACACGCCCAGCTAGGCTTCAGGCTACCAACTGTGAGCCATGAGGGCTTCTAGACTGTGCTGTGCATGTCCCTGCATGGTGTATAATGGGAACCTATTGAGGCCACAGGGAGCGGAGGACGGAGCTCTGGTTTGAGCCAGGCTCCCCTTACCCTCTGCCAGGGACAGTCCCCACCTGCTATCCACTGGTGACTCCAGGGAGCACATCCACAGTCCCCAACCCATCGCCCCGTTGCTCTTCCCCCCTTAGAGTGCTTCCTGGGGGTCAGGGGCACCTGGCAGCTGACCTGTGTGTGTGTGTGTGTGTGTGTGTGTGTGTGTGTGTGTGTCTCCCTCACAGCTGGCCCTGGACTATGGAATCAAGTTCATGGAGACCAGTGCGAAGGCCAACATCAACGTGGAAAACGTGAGTCCCAGGCCCAAAGCGCCAGCCCCTTGAGGCTGAGGTCAGGCTACAACCTCCAGGGAGACTCCACCACAGAGTCTGGCCATAGGCTGCGGGCTGCCGTGTTGGCCATCTGTCCAAGAGGCACTTCCTGGACAGGGCCATGTGCCAGGCCCTTTGATATGCCCGGCTGGCCCTGGAGTATTACCCCTTCCCCTCCCACCATGTTCTGATGTCAGCAGGTGCAGGCCCCAGCTGGGCACCTGGGACATTATCTCACTGGCCCTTGGGAGCCCTGGGAAGCAGACAGGGCTTTGCAGATGGTGAAACTGAGGCTCAGAGAGTCCCAGCTGGCTGGTACCCAGGCGCAGTTTCGGGTGAATGCTCTGGGCCACACCACCCACACAGACAGGTCCTAGTCACAGGCCCAGATGGAGTAGGGAGCCCTGGCCAAGCCTTGGCCCAAGCCACCCTCTCCTCTCCACAGACAACACCAGCCTGGCAGCTGACCTGCCTTCCCATTCATCCTATCGCCCGTGGTCTTCTGAAGACGGGCCATCTCCACCACTCCCAGCCTCAGCCCCCTCCCTATGCCTGGCCTGCAGGCCTTGGCCATGTGTGCAGCCCGCAGATCAGGCCTCGCCCACTGCTCCATGTCCGCCCCAGGCCAACTGCAGGCCTTCAGTTATGGTCCCATACCTTGCACCCCTTTTTCCATCAGGGCCTAGCCAAAGTGATGCTTCCCCAGGGAAGCCTCCACCATCCCCAGACCCCTGCACCCCCGACTTTGGATCCCCAGCACCCCTATCCCGCCTCCACGACTGAACGTCCACGTCACATAGGTGTTTGCTGAGACTCTGCCCTCCCCCCCACCAACCCAGGAGCCCCTCAAGTGCAAGGGCTGAGGCCAGGTCATCCTGTACAAGGCCAGGGGCTCGAGTGTGGTATATGAGCATTTGTCGGAAGAGCAGGCAAGGGAGGGGGGAAAGGGTTAGGAGGCTGCGACAGATGCAGCAGCCTGGGGTCAGGCCAGCCCGAGCCTTCACCATCCCTGGGAACCCCTCCACCCATCCCAGCCCTTCCAGGCCTCTGTCCAACAGGAACCCCAAAGGAAGCTTGTTTGGCCAAAGCGCTGCTTGTCTTTCTTCCTGCTCTGTCCGACCATCAGAAAAGGGGCAAAGGAGGCAGGCAGAGCACAGGAGTCGGAAGGTTAACCTGCTGGATCCGCTCAGATTGGTCTGTTACCCTCTGGATGCCCTGGGGCCAGTCACTTGGTCCTCTAAGCCTCAGTTTCCTCCCTGACCAATTAAGGGTGATCCACCTCCCAGCGTTGCTGGCTTGGGGGAGGTGGTGGGCTTGGCAGGTGGCAGTAGGAGATGTGACTGGACAGGTAAGACACCTTCCCCGCTGTCCCACCGCAGCCATTCCACAGTGGTGCCCAGAAACCAGCAAGTCCCCGCTGCTTGCTGCCGACGGGCACTAACAACGTGCTTATTCCTCAGGCATTCTTCACTCTCGCCAGAGACATCAAAGCAAAAATGGACAAAAAATTGGTGAGTTCGTGTCCTTTTGACCTCCGAATGGCTCCCTATTGGAGCCTGCCGTTTTCAGCCCCCACGGTGCGGCTCAACCCCGGGCAGCTCCAGCGTTGCAGGGCCCAGCTGGACCCAGTAGGGCATGGCCAGGAAGGGGCGTAGGGGCAGGGGTAGCAGGCGGGGTTGGGCCATCGGCTCCCGCACGTGCTCACATACTCTGTTCTTCCCCTGTGGCCCAGGGCTGCTCCGCTCCGGGCTGTGTCCAGGCAGACAAGGCCCTGCCTGCTGAGTGCACCGGCTAGCAGGCCTTTTCCGTCCTGACAAGTCTGGTAGATTGATAGCCTTTATCCCCCCGCCAGCCCCAAATTCTTCAGGTCGTGATGGTTCTACAACCTTTAGTAGGTCCCAGGGCTCCGAGACCTTCAGGAGGTCCTGTCTGAATCCTTACCATCCACCCTTCCATTTATTTATGGCTTTTTTGCTTACCCCATGAGCATTTCATAGTCCTTAGCAGTCAACATAATTAGTGCTGACCTGGATGAGTCTGAAAGCACGACTGTACTTCGGGCGTGTGTAGTGCCACCGTGCTCAGTGCTTCGGGAGTGTTGCCTGCGAGCCTCGTCCAGTGGCCGCTCTCCCCGTCAGGTGATGCGCCCTGGCACTCTACTTGTGGCTCATCCAGGTCTCGGCACACGAGACTACACATACTCTTGTAACACAAAATACCATTCAAGTAGGTCATATCTGACTTAAAACGAATGTATTTTCATAATTCTAAGATATCATGAATTGAGTCATAAGGCACAAGATGGATTTAATAGCAGCTCTTTGGCCAAAACAGAAAACAGCCCACGTAAAGCAATGTACTTTTCTTACAGAAATTTTCTTACAGCGGTGATTTTCTTTTCTCTTGAGCACAATGGTACAGTTTTGATTCTTAACGATCCTCCTGGCTCATTTTTGCCCACCGGCAGTGAGGCCAAGTGTGACAGTGACGCTGCCCGTGCTTCTGACGCTGGCCTCTTGGTTGCCTCCAGGATGTGCCACGCCCTGTAGGGCGCACATTTCGAAGCTCTGGTACACAGCCATTATCCTTGTGATTGCTTTTTCTTAACGGAATTGTAAATCACCACCAGTTAAATTTCTGCCCATTTCCTGCCACCTTTGTGTTTATATTAAGTGTTGCAGCTCCATGCCATTTTATATCTGTTATGTCTGGCATACAAAGTTGTGTAAGTTTGAGGTATACGATGTTAGCTTGACACTTTAATATTTTGCAATTTGATTATCATGGTAGTGTTAGTTTACACCTCTGTCACATCACATAATTATTATTTCTTTTTGTGTTGAGAACAATTAAGGTCTAGTTTCTTAGCAACTCTGAAGTTTAAAATATAATATTGTTGACTCTAATTACAGTGTTCTTCATTAGAGTCCCCAGGACTTGTTTATCTACCAGTTGCAAGTTCATCTTTATCTTGATACAGCCAGCCCTGTCCACCCACGTCTTCCTCCTGAAGGAGTCACGGCAGCCGGGCTCTGCCGGTGCCCACCCCATGCCCAGCCCTCGGGCGCTCTCCCCCTCCGCACCCCTGTGCTGCTCGCTGCACTGAGAGCAGACCCCACACACGGCCAGACCGGGCCTCGGGCTCTGGCTGCTGCCACTCGCTGCACCTTGTCGCCCTCCCGTTTCCCCGGTGCCCCCTGTGTGCCAGCCATGCTGGCCTTGTTCTTGGAGCACCCCATGTTTGTTTGGGCTCTCCTTCCCTCCCCCCGGGGTACGCCCCCATCATTAGTTTCCCAGGGCTGCTGTAACAAATTCCCATAACGAACTTCGCAGCTCACATCACATGCGTCATTACCTTCATGCCCTGGAGATCAGGAGTCTGAAATGGGTATCAGTGGGCTCGGAGCAGAGTGTCAGCAGGGCTCGCTTCATTTCTGGGGGCTCCAGGGGAGAAGCCCTTTCCTTGTCCACTGCCTTCTAGGGGCCACTGCATTCCAAGCCTTAGAGCCACCTCCTCCGTCTCCAGCGCCAGCCACGCAGCATCTCTCTGACCCTGCTCTCTTCTCACCTCTTTCTTGGGCCACAGCTGAGGTTTCTCTGCGTGTGAGGATTCGTGGGGTTAGATGGGGCTCACCTGGATGGTCCAGCGTGCTCTCCCCCCTCTCACCTTAGTTACATCTGCAAAGTCCCTCTTGCCACATCAGGTGCCATACTCGCAGGTTCCAGGGATTAGGGTGCAGGCATCTTTGGGGGCTGTTACTTTGCTGACCACACATGTGGACTCTTCCCATGTCTCACTTCCTCACTCTATGAGGTCTCTGACATCTTCAGCAAAGCCCACCCCCACCTTGCCCTGCCCTTTCTCTCATTCCTCACCATGGTGGGAAGTCAACATTTTTGTTTACCCACATAATTTCTGTCTCCCCCATATGGTGTGAGCTTCCCAAGGTGCGGGGCTCTTGTTCGCCACCGAGTGCCCAGTGCCCACAGAAGTGCCTGACACGGCATAGGCATTCAAGAGCTGCTGTTACGTAACTTCAGCTTTTGCCTAAGAGCTGAAAGATGACAAGGAAATAGGCCAAGGGGGGCTGAACGTTTCCCCCTTTGGGGGAAAAGGGGTGACATGGAGAAGACAGGATTTCCAGTCCCAGGATTGCCAGGGGTCGCATTGCAGAGGCTTTGAATGCTGGGCAACGGGTTTGGGGGCAGTTTTTCTGAAACCAGGGGCACTGGTGTGTATTCAGTAAGGCTCGAGGGGACAAAGTCAGGGTTTCCCACTTGCATCGCCCACAGCAGAGTGGAAGGTGGACCAGGGGAGGGGGTGGTAAGCCAGAGCCTTAGCACAGAGACACGGAGACCATCGAGGTGTGAGTGGTATTGGGACCTTGAATTCAGGGCCCCCAGATTCCAAGGGACGGAGTCTCCTGCCCCTTGGCTGCCTCACTGGTAGGGATAGAAGGGAGGGAAGTGTGGGTGAGTGGAGAGAAGGAAGGAAGAGAGGGAGGCAGGTGAATACGTGGAAAGGCATGGGGAGGATGAGTACGTGAGTGAGCAATTGGAAGGTGAATAGGTTGAGAGGGGTGGTAGGTAGAAGGAAAAAAAGTATACCTGGGTTTGTGAGAGATGAATTGTCATTTGGAAGCAACCGTTGGATAGACAGATGACAGAAAGGGATGGTTGGATGGACAGATGGATGGAAGGGAATGGACAGATGTAGAGTTGATAGGAAGCGAATGCATGGGTGGATAGAAGGAAGGGAATAGACAGGTGGGTGGTTCGTTTGAAGGGAAAGGAAGACACGAGATGGATATGTGGGTGCTGGGAAGGGGGGTGGATTCATAGATGGTTGGTTGAAGGTGACGGATGGGGGATGGATGGGAGGAGACAGGCCGACTTGCAGGTGGGTGGATGGTTGGCTGGTTCGTTGGTTAGAGGCATAGTGCTGACGCTGAGCCACTACCTCATGAGACCTCTTGTGACTTCAGGAAGGCAACAGCCCCCAGGGGAGCAACCAGGGAGTCAAAATCACACCAGACCAGCAGAAGAAGACCAGCTTTTTCCGATGTGTTCTTCTGTGAGGAACGCCGCCTTACTCTGAGCCCCGCTCAGCCGAGCTGACTGTGCCTGTCCTGAGAGCGCCCCTCGCCCAGCTGGGGCCCTCCCCTTCCAACGCCCCTGTGGCGGCCACCGGGCCCAGGGCCACCAGAACACAATTGAGAAATTGTTTATTTTAGTAACTGTCTGATCTTTTTCAACTTTGGAAATGAAATAAGTTAAGAATTTGCTATTTTTCCTGTGACGTCCGCCAAACCGGCCACGCATTGTGTACCTGGAGAGTGGAGACGACACGGCCGTCAAGGATGGCCAGCGTGGCGGGCCTCCGCCTCGGGGCCGCGGCACAGCTCAGATTCCACCGCACAGCCTGTCTGCATCTCCCGGCGCAGAAGCGAGGTCCCCAAAGGCCAGGATGGTTCCAGGAGTGCTGCACCTCACGCCCTCGGCGAGGTGACCTGCACCAGGCCTGGGAAACGTCCGCCAACATGTCTGATGCCCACTTTCACCGTTTCTCTGTTTTGGACAAGTGACAAAAACTGTTATGTTTCCTTTTCCTCTCTCCCTCTTTTTGACTCTCAAACCAAAGGGAAGCACAAATTAAGGAAACCCTGTGCAAAGCGTACAGAAGGAAGGAGGGGTGGCGGACCTGACCTGCCCACAGCCGGCCCCTGCCGGCGGTCCCGCCAGGCCTCGGGCGTCGGCAGCGGGCCTCTCGGCAGTCCCTGTCCGATCACTGAGGGGCTGCCGTGCATCCCACGGGTGCCCCTGAAGACACAGCTACACACCCTTCACCCACAATTAGGGTGCCAGCCTGACAGCCCCACTTCTCTTTCCCCTCCCAAGGTCTCCAAATCAGATGTCCTTTCTAGCTGAGATTTTTATTTTTCCAGATCCGTAGTGCCATGAAGTGATTCCGCCTTTGATTTCCAGTGGCAGACCCAGGTGACCAGGGACATGTGTGCACCTGTGGCTGGATGTAGCTGAGAGCGTGACGCATTCCTGGCAACAGGCTGACCGCAGAGCTGTCAGAGCTAGTTTTTTTTAACTGTGTCAGTGGTTCTGTTTTGACAGGTCTGCCTTCCCAAAGAGAGGGTGCAGTTGAGAGAGACCAGGTCTCCAGGTCCGAGGGATGTCAACTAGGGAGCCTTTACATTTCTTTTTCTTACCCTTCCCCCCCGCCACCCCAAGTTGCTGTCCACCTAAGCCATTGACATCGTAATTTCTTTTTTGAATTAAAAACTGATGAACCAGCTGTTCCCTGGAATCTCTTAACGTGCTCTGTTTACATCAATAAACGCACTTAAGGAAAACAGTTAATTAAAGCTCATTTTCAAGTTCACAGGTTTTTATATCCACAGTTAGCCTGCGGGTAGACAGACGCGGAGGCAAGTCACAGAATGCCTGGTGCCTAACAGCCCAGGCCCCAGGACAGGATCGAAGTGGAGGTTCTGCGTACCCCAGGCTCTGAGGGGATGACACCATTATCAACAGACCAACTTGGAAAATTAAACTTCCTACCCCCACCTGGCTCTGCCTCCACCCCATAAGGAAACAGGGGCCCTATTCTCAGCACCATCTGGGTTTACCACGTCCCATGCTGAACCCGCTTGGTCAGTATTAGACCCCATGGTGCCACCAGATTCTCTCATCTCGGTCTCTGTTGGCATTCATTTGCCACGTTACATATTCAGCCCTGAGACCCCCCCTTACCTCTCAGGAGCACCGCCCTCCCCCACCCCTGAGGTCCTGCGTCCTCTGGCTTGTGGCACATGGCCTGGCCGTCTTCTGCCTCTTCTCCAGACTCACCCTAGTTGGTTTCTTCTACTTGTAAGGGTTCTAAGGCCACCCCCGGCTCTGGTTCGCGGAAATTCAGCGCATAGCTGACGTATTACAGCCGAGGGACATGGAGGGAAGTGGGCTCAGGAAGAAGTGCGTGGAGCCGTGTCCAGAGAAAACCAGGCAGAAACCGCCCGGAGTCCTGGGCGCATGGGGCACACTTCATTCCGCCACCACCGAGCTTTGACAAGTAACGTGACGTGTTTGCCTAGGGGTTTCTTTTTCCCTTCTCTTTTTATTGATTTTAGAGAGGGAGGGGACGAGAGAAACACTGATTTGTTATTCCACTTTATTCATTGGTTGATTCTTGTATGTGCCCTGACCAGCAATCAACCCACAGCCTTGGTGTATCAGGACGACACTAACCAATTGAGCTACCCGGCCAGGGCCCAGCACCCAGGGTTTTACTGGGGCTGGTTACGTAGGCATCTCTCTGCCTGGCGTGTACCAAAATTTCAGCAGCTTGGAAAGAAAGCAGGTGTTCCGCTAAACCACCCGTTTGTACAGAACATTTAGGCATAGTTGCGAGCCACTCCTCACATACGGAAGGTCTTATTTCAGCCTAGGGAACTTCACCAGCCAAGTTGCTGAGTGCTGGCCAATGGCCAGCCTGGCCAGCAGGTCTTCAGACCTGCCCGTGGCTTCTACACTACAGATCAGCCCAAACCCGCCTGAGCTCCAGACCCCCGTGTTCGCCTGCCTGCTCTCTATTCCAGTTCACGTGTCTGATCACCATAAACGTAACAGCCAAGAAAGAACACTTACTTCGGCCTCCATCCTCCATCGTGCCCTGTAACCGCCCCCACTTCCACTTTGGAGCCATTAGACTCTGGGCCTCTGTCCCAGCCTTCCCTTTGTCCTTTAGTCTGTTTTCTAAGTATTCTCAAGAAATAGAAATCAGCCCTGGCTGGTCCGCTGAGTTGGTGTAGAGTGTTGTCCTGATATGCCATGGTTGTGGGTTTGATCCGCCCTCAGAGAACGTACAAGAATCAAGCAATGAATGCATAAGTAAGTGCGACAAGTCGGTGTTTCTCTGTCTCTAAAATCAGTTTTTAAAAAAAGAAATCCAATGGTGTCACCCCCCCCAACTCACCGCCCACCACGGGCCACGGGCTCCCGCATGCTGTGGCCCTGCCCGCTTCCCTTTTCTCTGCCACTCTCCCCGGCTCACCTCACCCCAGCCCCTGACTGCCTTACTCCTGTTACACCCCGTGCTCATCGCTGCCCCAGTGCCTTTGCATGTGCTGCACCCTTGGTCTGGTGGTCCTCTAAAATCTGCATCAGGTCACAGCCAAGCAGGGCAGCCTCTGTGGAGAAGCCCCCATTTCCCCATCTCCTCCCACCTCATCACCATAGCATCTATGAGGACTCACTTCTCACAGCTCTCATCTTCCCCTCAGCATGGGGGTTCCACCAGCCCAACTTCCCCACCCCTGACATCCATGGCAAAATGGCACTGTGGTCACTGACCCCGAGGGCCATCCATCCCACATGGGGCCGTGGAAATCCCAATCACCAGCTGAGGCTCCAGTGTCAGAGAGGGAGGGGCTTTGGAGTCCCAGCCCCGCCCAACCGCCCTGCTGGTCCTCTTCCAGAAGTTCCTCTAGGCACCGTCTCTCCATTATCAGCTTCTCTCTGGGGCTGTTGTCGAGAGGAGTGGGGGTGGGGAATGGTTTCTACAGTGACGTTCTCAGGGGAGACCGTTAGTTTGTGAGAGACCACATCCGCCAAGCAGATCTGGGCAGTCAGGGAGGAGCCCTCTGTGGTGGGGCCTCAGGGCGCTGAGCCAGGAGTGGACTGATAGGCCCCTTATTCCTGGAGGCTGAACTCCATGCAAATAATACGCCCATGGCCAGGCTTTCTAACTGACAAGGGTTGGCCGGGCACCTCTGCTCCCCTCCCCAGAGGCGCATCCTGGAGGCGAGGTGCAGACTTCTTGGGCTACGGAGGACGCGGAGGACCAGAGAGGCAGGTGAGCTGCCCAGCGCTGCCCAGCCTGGGAGGTGTGCAGCCCGAGCCCGCATCTCCCCCAGCTGGACACGAAGGCATCAGAATAAGTCACAGCGAGGTGACCTGACATCATTAGTCTTAAGTGAGTCCCCTGCTGTCTACCCCAAGTTTGTCTCTCCTGTCACTATTACCATCACGTGACCGTAGGAGGACTGCTATTGTGTGAGATGAGGAAACTGAGGCCCAGAGAGGTTGGGCAACTCACCCGAGGCCGCATAGTGGGTGAGTGAGAAACAAGTTCCTTGTGTTTCTTGCTTGGTGTTGACCTGCAGACTCAGGGCATCCCCCGCCCGCTATGGAGCAGGAAGTGGTGGGGCACCCAGCTTGAGCCTGCAATCAGGCTCTACACCAGCTGGGTCAGGGCAATAGGCCCACAGGAGGCCCCCTCCAGCTCAGCCAAGAGAATCTGGGCCCTTGAAAGAGGATGAGGAAGTGGTTTTGCCCGTGTCCTGGGAGGAGGAGTGGGGGGCAGCCAGCACACATCTGGGGCTGGCTGATTCGTTGGGCACAGCTTCCCACACTCAGATCCCACGCACGATGTGTGTAGGGGCCGTGGAAATGGTTTAGTTTTTTCAAAATCAGAAAAAAATTAATACAGTTATAACGAGTATATAATAATGACACCAATAGTCATAAAATATAATTTAAAAATTTTTTTTTAGCAGAACTCATAACGTGGCCCCATGTGCGCAGTGCAGCCGGGCCTGTGCAGGCTCCATCCTGCCTCCGGCCCTGGGTCTCTGCTTCCCTCCACCCAAGGCCTCTTTCTTCAACCCCCACCTGATGGAGCTGACTCCAGCTTGCCCCCAGGTGCCACTTTCTCCAAACTTGTTAGGCTCCCTCTGGGGGTTCTTGCAGCTTCTGTACCTGTTTCCTGACCTGCCGTTTACTTTGAAACAACAGTAATAATTTCTTAGGTTTCTTCACTGCCTGTTAGATTACAGATACAGGGAGGATGGGGCTTGGGCCTCTCTTGGGGCCTCCTCACTGTCCCCTGAGGGTCTAGCACACAGCAGGTGCTCAGTAAAGCTTGCCCAGGTCTGGGTAGAACAAGGGCACCCCTCCTCCACCTGCAGCCCGGCAGCTGTGTTGGAGCACAGACAGAGGGCAAGGGGGTTTGTCTTGGTCCCGCTCACCAGGTTGAGGAAACAGGAACCACCCCGGGCAGGGGCCCCGCCCAGCCTTGCTGACGTGTTGGTCCTGAACCGAAACCCAGGCTCCTGCAGGCGGGGGCACCGGCACAGCCAGACGAGGGCCTCGGCCACCCAGGGGCCTCCCAGGTATGTTCCTCGGATGGGGACTCCTTAACCACAGGCGCACCTCCATGCCTGCCCCATGCTGGGTGAGGCTGGGGCCCCTGAGCGCCTCCAGAGGAGAGAGCATGCAGCCCAGGTGGGCCAGAGGGAGGGGCGGGGTTGGCGGGGACTGGAGATGGGTGAGGACTTTCCTGGAGGCGACCACTGGAAAATGGAGCTGGGGTTGGGGAAGGGGCATTCATTCCTGGCAAAGAACCGCCTGGGCAAAGGTGTGGCGGGGAAAGAAAGCCTGATCAGTTTGGGGTAAAACAAAGATGCTATTAGGGCTGGCACGGGGGATTAGGAGGTGGGAGAGGCCCCAATGCCGGAGTCAGGAACCTGAAACTTAGTATGACTTCATCCATCACTGAACTATCTAATCATCAGCACACACTCTGTACCCTCCTCTGTGCCCACCCAGCTCCAGGTGATGCTGGGGACCCAGAAAAATCCAAAAGAAACTAGCCCTGGGCCCAGACCCTGGGAGCCCCTACTATGAGGGAGACAGAGGAGAGACAGACACTCCAGCTCCATGAGGCAAGGCGAGGCCAGAGGCAGGGACTGAGGGGAAGGCAAGGGGCATAGAAGGACACCAGGGTTTTGTCTAGGGGAAGAGGCAGGAAAGCATGAAGGAGGGAGTGTTTTTACTGTGTCTTGTAGGATAAGTAGGAGGTCTCCCAGATAAAAGAAAGAACAAGCCTGTTAACTATTCCCCCATGCTGGGTCGCTACTGGACCCATGAATATTTATTATGCACACACGTGTTTTGTGCTGGTCTCAACCAATCAATACCAGTGTTGTGGCTGGACCAGCCCTTGTGGTTCTTGTTATGATTTTGAGATGCGCTTCAGCGATGACCATCAGAAAACTTAAAAAAAAAAAAGATTTATTTATTAGTTAAGGACCTGGAAGTTCACAACACACTGGGGACGACACACGAGACCAGGGTCAAAGGTAGAGAGAACAAGTGTGCACATGGGCAAGCAACCCAAATCGGTAATTATTGAAATCGACCAAGATGTCTGAGACAAAGGAGCCTCAGTGGGAGAAGGACACCTGGCTCTTTTGTCGTGTGGCTGGTAATCTTGATGGGAGACTGTCATCCTTGAAATGGATGCCCCAGCAATCAAAGCTTAAGTCAGACGCTTGCATTACAGAAAAGAAAAAACACACACACAGTCAGGGCTTACACCACGCCAGGTAAACACCATCATCATCTCCCCAGATGGCAGTTGAAAACAGGCACAGAGAGGTTAAGCTGATTTGCCCACGATCACATAGCAGCTAAGTGGGTTTGAATCCAGGCTCTGATTCCAGGCTCCTAGCTTTGTCACTCTGCGTTGTTAAACATTTCTTTTTTTTTCTTCCTTTTTTCTTTTTTCATTTTTAGACATGCTTATTGACTTTACAGAGAGGGGGAAGATAGGGAGAGAGAGAGGGAGAGAAACATTGATCAGTTTCCTCTGGCACGCGCCCCAATCCAGGACCGAATATGCAACCTGGGTGTGTGCCCTAACAGGGATTCGAACCCGTGACATTTCAGTTTCCGAGATGCCACTCCAAACAACTGAGCCACACCAGCCAGGGCTAAACATTTCTTAATAGATTTAATTTCACTTGCCCCAGAATTTCTTTGGGCCGCTCCCTGGAGGGGTGTCCTTACCATCTGTCTTCTGGTAGGAGAAAGTCAATATTGGCTGGGTCGGTCAGCGGTTTCCTGTCTGTGGAAACAGCCTGGTAACAATGAAATCCTGCAATACTGAAAAATTAGGCCTGGCCAGTGTGCAAGGCAGGGCCAGTTTGGGGACAGAATTAGGGTGAGTGTGAGGGGTCAACCCAGCCCGCACAACCCTTTTGCGGGCATTACACTGACTCCGTAAATTACCATTTTGCCAGTTGGTGCTGTTTTTTTTTCTCTCTGTTGTCCAGCTCTGTGTCATTAACTCACAAAGTCCAGTGGTACCTGAGCTTAAAGTGGTTGAGAATGAGCGTGAATAAACTGTGCACCTGACACATTATGGGTGTGCTTTCCGTGACCACCATGCCTGGTGGCACCGGTGGCAGAAGCAGCCGTCCGGGCCGCATCTCTGCGGTGTTTAATGCACCGCGGCCGCCCTTTGTGGTGCCCACCGAGCGCCCACTATTTCATTCACTCACTCGTTTCACCGTCCCCATGTGCCTCCAGGGACATAGGTAGTTACTATCAATCCGGCTCTTAAACTTAAATGCATACATCTATGAAGAGAACGTTGCGACACTTGCAGTAATGAAATAATAAGAATAAAAGGAAAAGAAAATATCTGAGGATTTTGTTCTTTTTTTAAAAGATTTTATTTATTTATTTTTAGAGAGGGGAGGAGGGAGGGAGAAAGAGAGGGAGAGAAACATCGATGCGAGAGAGAAACAATGAGCGGTTGCCTCTTCCACGGCCCTGACCAGAAACCAAACCCACAACCCAGGCACCTGCCCTGACCCGGAATCGAACCAGTGACCTTTCGCTTTGCGGAATGATGCCCAACCAACTGAGCCACACCAGTCAGGGCTCTTCTTTTATTATTGTTACTTCCTTTTTATTCTTATTATTTCCATTTATTCTTTTATTCTTCTTATCCTTGGAGGATTTATGCGAAGATCCGATAAGTGAATGTACATAAAGTGCTGGCACATACTAGGTGCTCAGGAAACACAAGCCCGTTTCAAGCCTGTTGCTCTGTCCAGCCTAGAGGGCTTCTTCACAGAGGAGGCACCATGGCTGCAAGAATTGGATGAAGACGGGAGGTGGACCGGGCTTGACTCTCTCTCCTCCTTCCTGCCCCCAGGTGACACCTTCCCTCTAAGGAAGCCATGACAGAGACCAGAAAGCTGCCCCCGCCGCTGCCTCCGCGAATGGGCTGGTTCGTGCATACACAGGTGGGCCAGCTGGCCCGAGAAGGAGTCCCGTCGTGGTTCCATGGTGCCATCTCCAGACAGTGAGGACACACCCACACCTTCCACCCTGCCTTTCACCCTCTTCCTTTGTTTGCCCCCACCCTGGGCAGGTGTTCACTGTGGAACCCTGGGCTCAGTTCACCTAAGTGAGTTAAGAGGAGGATGAAAAGAGCTTTGGAGCTTTGGGCTTGAATCTTGTCTCCTCTGTGGACTTGCCGTGTGCCCTTGGGCAAGTTATTTTCCCTTTCTGGACCATGGTTTTCTCTGTACAAGTGGCCACCAGACCAGAACTGCCAGGGACCTGGCAAAGCCCCCCCCCACCCTGCGACCTCCCCTCCCCTCCCCAGGCCAGTCATCACCAACCAGTGATGGCAGGACACAGCCTCAGAATCCTTCTTAACGCAGCGCCCCAACAGCTGCACTCAGTCCATCAGGCATATAGCTAATACGCACTTTCTATATCAGGCTGAGCTCCAAGAAGAACAAACTTACCTACTTAGTCACCCTAGGGTGTGGCTCTAAATAAATAGAGAAAAGAACAGTTATTGCCACCCTTGGTATTCAGGAAATTGAAAGAACATTGCAAAAGCCACAGAGAGGCAGAATGGACATGCTTTCTGAGTTCCTAGGTGTGCCAATAAAATATGATATGAGCCATACATTGCAATTTAAAACGTTTTACTAGCTATATTAAAAGAAGCAAAAAGAAACAGGTAGAACTAATTTTAATCACATCTTTTATTTTCCCTGGCTGCTATGGCTCAGTTGGTTGGGGCGTCGCCCCATAACTGAAAGATTGGAGTATTTAAGCCAGTGTATTCATGATATTATCATTTCAACAAGTCATTAGTACAAAAAAAAATCATTCATCAGACAGTATATATATTCCTCTATTTGTACTGTCTTTATTTTTAATTATTTTTTTATTTTTTACAATAAAAAATTTTCAATTACAGTTGATATGCAATATTATACTAGTTTCAGATGCACAACATAGTGATTAGACAATTATATAACTTACAAAGGGATTACTCCTTAAGTCTACTAGTCCATCTGACACTGTGCATAGTTATTAGGAATCTGTTGACTGCATTTCCTATGCTGTGTACTGAGTCTTTAAAATGTGCTGTGTATCGTATGCTAAAAGTACGTCTTGATTCAGACCAGCCACATTTTAAGTGCTCAGTAGCCCCCAGGTGGTCAGTGGCTGGAAAACACGAGTCCAAAGGCTCCCCATAGAAGGTCACCTTACTCTCTGCGAACCCCAGAAAATAGTAGTAATAATGATAGTAAATGATAGTAATATAGTTGACCCTTGAACAATGTGGAATTCAGGGTGCCAACTCTAAATCCTTACATAACAACTTCTCGAAAGCTTAATTGCAGTCAATCCACAATATCTGTGGGGATTGTTTCCAGGACCCCCCCATGGATGCCAAACTCTGCAGATGCTCAAGTCCCCTCTATAAGTGGTGTAGGACAATGCCTAGAGTTGGCCCTCCACACCCACGGATTCCCAGCTTCAGATCAAAAATACTATACAGAGGGCCGATTTGTATATTTACTGAAAAAAATCCACTTGGACTTAGCAGTTCAACCTGTGTTATTCCAGGGTCAACGGTACTAATAGTGAACATTTTGAACGCACGTACCAAGTGGAAGTTCTCACATTGCACGCATTTCGTCTGTCCTCACATTGGCCCTGGGAGTGAGGGTTTTCTGTCCCCTTCAGGAAGCTGAGGTCAGAAAGAGACTGCCCCTCACCAAGGGGCACGCAGTGAATGAACAGCAGACTTGGGTTTTGATCTCAAACACATCTGGGAACAGCTCCTGCTTTGATAGCTGTCATACCTGGATCCACCCAAAGGTGCCTTCCTGGGGGGATCGCAGGCATTGGGAAGGCAGGCCGGGACTGTGGAAGACGGGAGGTCTAGCCTGGGGTCAAAGTCATCAGGGCCTTCTGGCACCTCTGAGGGAATGTCCTGTCCATGAATAGCCCAAGTTCTGAAACAACCAAGGAAAAAAAAAGTTTCAGGTTGTTTGTTCAGTCCTGGGATGGCTGGTGCACCAGGGGTCTGGGCAGCACGCAGGGCGCTGGACCTCAGCTGCCTCCTTCCTGTGTGTGCCGTTCCAGGGACGCGGAGAGCTTGCTGGAGTCAGAGCCACTGGGATCCTTCCTCATCAGGGTCAGTCACAGTCACGTGGGCTACACGCTCTCCTACAAGTAAGGCTCGGGCCAGGGGACAGGGCAGGGGCAGCAGGGCTCCAGGCTTCCTTGGAGGGGGCAGGGGGGGTTTTATACCACAAGTCTCAGGAACCAGCATGAAGCTCTGGACAGATCTGGCTGAAAGGTGAGCAGCTGCAGGTCTGTCTGTAACCAGCAGGCTTGGGTCTGGTGGTAACTAGGACTGTGTGTCTGAGAACAGGAGCTGCTGGGGGCCCCAGGGCGGCTACTACTGCCCTTTGCATAACCATCCACCTCCCTTCCACCGTCTGCTTGGCAACACTGACTCCACTCAGGACTCCAGCCCAGAGTAGTCCAGCTACTTGAGGCCTCAAAGCCTGATCAGGCATCCCAGCCAGTGGATTCAGTGGCACAAACTATTTTTCAAAAGGAATTCAGGCCAAAGGAATACCAAAAAAAAATCCAATGGCTTAGTACAGAATTACCCACAGTAGGAAAACCTTGGGACCGAGTCGCACGGCCCAAGGCTCGGTTCTGCTCCTTACACACTGTATGACCTTGGACAAGTTACTCAGCCTTTCTGTGTCTCCCTCAAAGTCCTCATCTCTAACATAGAAATGCCAAAATTAGCTGTCTGGATGGGAAGATGAAAACACACCGTAAGCACTCCCCTGGCTGGTGTGGCTCAGTTGGCTGGAGGTTTGATTCCCGGTCCGGGCCGAAGGCTGACTCGATTTTCGTTATCATTTCTGTTGACCATTTACCCCGGCCAAGCGCCGAGCTAAGCTTTCCCTGCAGTAGCTTGTTTCACACTCCTAGCCCCATGGTATAGATAGGGAAACTGAGGCACAGCGCTGCTAGTCACCTACCACGGGTCACGTGGCTAGAGAATGGAGAAGCTCACACAGGACCCTGGGCAGTCGGGCTGCAGCCACCGTGCTGGCAGCTAAGGGGCGGGGCGGGGCGGCAGGATGAGGCAGTGGGGGGCCTCAACCCCAGCAGTGTCTCCACAGAGCTCCAGGCTGCTACCGCCACTTTATGGTGAAGCTCTTGGACAACGGGAGCTTTCTAATCCCTGGGGAGGACAAGACCCATGCCTCGCTGGACGCCCTGGTCACCTTCCACCAGCAGCAGCCGATCCGGCCACATGGGGAGCTGCTGAAGCAGCCCTGTGGGCAGGTGAGGGTTGGGATCCGGTTGGGCATAGCTGTTCTCCCAGGGGCCAACGCCCCCATCAGCCTCTTGTGAGTCTTTCCTTTCATGGTCCCCGTCCCCCCACGGCCACACTCCTTTTGGTCCTAGTTTCCCCCCAGACTGATTTTGCACAAGGGATCATGCGCCAGGTGTAACTTTAGCTGATCCAAAGGAATAGCATGTTTCCTGATAAGCCTCAGCAGCTGCCGTGGGAGGGGCATGCGTCACTATGAGGTTTGTGGGGAGAGCAGCTCCTGAGCCCCAACTACCAGGGTCCAGGGACCTCAGCCCCATTCTGGCCTTCCTTGGGGCTGAGCTGCAGGTCCCCTCTGTCTTGCAGAAGGATCCAACAAGCATGGATTACGAGGATCTCTTCCTTTACTACAATGCTTTGGCTGAGGAAGATGCCAGCCCTTCCCCTGGCCCCAGTGACCATCAGAATCCTTCCTCCCATCCAGTGGCTGCACCCATGGAGGTATGTGACAGAAAGCTGGCACCTCCAACTTGGCGGGGGCGGGGGGTGGAGGGGCATCCAGAGCAGGGGTGGCCAATAGCTGCCAGAGGAGACTTTCTAGCATGAAGATTAGATCCTGCAGGTCCAGGTTTAAAACCTTCTGGTGACTTCCCACTAAGATTAAAATCCCGACTGCGGCCTCAGTTGCTCCTTCCGCCCATCACCAGCCCAGCTTCAGCCCCCCCCCGCCATCCTACATCAAGCTAACCTCAGGGCCTTTGCACAGGCTGCGCTGTGAGCTCCGCCCCCAGATTCCTGCTGCCTGGCTCCTCCCCTCAGTTCTTCTTCAGGTGTCTCCCTCCCATCTCCAGACCTGAAGTGCTCCCCTCACCCAACGCCTTCTCCATCACATCATCCTATATATTTGCAACTGAGCACTCCTCGAAATTTCAAGGAGACGCCTCAAAAGTCTTGTTTCTTTATGGGTTTTCATGTTTCCTGTCTGCCTTCCTGCTCAGTTATCACCACTTAGGGGTGAGAGAGCTGGGGTATTTATTTATCCTCCAAATTCCGTTAGTCATTGATCACGCACTGTTCCTGGGAGATTTTGATTCTCTGGCGCTCCTGGTGTGCCATGTGGACACAGCGGGCACTAGTGGCCAGAGAAGGCCCCCAGGCAGAATCCCTGCATTTGGGAGTAGAGCTGGGGACAAAGAGGCTATGGTGGGCCATCGACAGCATCTGCCACAATGGCCGCACACTTGGCCTGAGCAACGGCAGGTCAGGGGTCAGTGAACTACGGTCTGAGGGCCACATCGGGTTCATTGCCTGCTTCTGGGCGGCCTGCAAGCTAAGCATGGCATTTACTTTTTTCAATGGCTGAGAAAAATACTATTTCATGGCTTGTGAAAATCAGATGAAACTCAGGTTTCCATGTCCACAAAGTTTTACTGGAACCACTCCCTTGACAACAGCGGAACTGAGTAAGGAGACAGACTGTGCAGCCTGCAAAGGGGACAATATTTGCTCCCTGATCCTTTACAGAAAAGGTGCGCCGACCCCTGGGGAAGCGAGGGGAGCTGTCTACTGCAACGGGAAGGATGGGCACAAGGTTAGGTTCCGGGGCTCATGTGGGGCTGTTTCTCAGCCCCAGGGCATCCAGGGGAACCCAGACCCCAATCCCCGAGACAGACGCGGATCCTGGCAGGTGTGGTGGCACCGGTCTCACCTGCTCTTGGTTTTAGGTCTCCGGAAAGCCAGTCCTGCTCCATCAGCGAGAGGAAAGGCAGCTGTCGGCAGAGATGGACAGAGCGCCGACAGAGGAAGCTGCTTCCTTCTGCCCCCCAAGATCCCCTCTCGAGAAGGCCTGCCAGAAACTCTGGGGGAACCTTAAGACCCTCCCTCAGACAGGCAAGAGGGTCCAGCAGCAGCTGAAATCCCACCTGGCAGCGGTGAGCTTGTCATCGTTCCTGGACTCCAAGCGACGGGAGGCGGAGATGACTCACAGCGCAGGGGCGGAGGCGGATGCTGCGGTCTGGGACAGTAACGCCTACAGAGACCCTTCTGTGGCCCCGTCACTCACCAGCCCCTCACAGCCCCAGGCTCCAAGAGACAAAGATAAGTCCTCCAGGAGGGCCTCAAGGTCAACCAGCTGGAGCGATATGACCCCAAGCACCAGGGGTTGGCAACAAAAAATAGTGAGGGCCCTGTCCTCACAGCCGTCCAAATCGGAGCTGAGGGACTTGGCCGGACCCCAGGAGGACCATCTCCCCGAGGAGTACCGCCCACCGCCACCCTTCGCCCCCGGCTACTGCTAGGGAAGAGGCTCGCCTTGGCTCTGGGACCCTTGCCGCCAGGGGCCGCTCACACCTGGACCCCTTGCGTTCTACGCACCAGCTCTCCAGAACCCAAGAAATGTAATAAAGACGCTGCTTAGGTCTGGTCCTGCAAATAGCAATGAGGTGACCTGGTTGACAATCAGTTACAGCAAGGGTCTGGGTCACCTACTGTGTGCCAGTCCCATACCGGATCCTCAGTGTTCATCATTCTCTGACGCTGCTGAGCAGGCCCATCAGGTAGGCACGTTCTGTGCGTTTGCAGGAAGAAACTGAGGTTCAGAGAGGAGGCGACGCAGGGCCAAAGTCAACAGGTGAGCGGCAGTGCCAGGATTGGAAGTCACAGGATTTGGAGTCCTTTCCCCCACCCCAACCCCCAACTCTAAGTCCTAGCCACGCCCCCCAGGTTCTCATGCAAATGAAGGAGATGAGGCCTGTGGTGGGCTCAATGCTCAGGAAGCACCCCGGACACCAACGTCAGCTTTAGGAGAAACAACTTTGTCCTTTGCTTTAAAAGGGAGAGGCAGCCCCCGAGCTGTGGTTCGGGTGGGCTCCGGGAGCGCGGGTTGCAAGGCTGTGTTACCTTTGGTGAGTCCCTGGACCTCCCTGAGCCTGTTTCCTCACCTGGAAAATGGGGAGAAGAGTATCCCCTCCTGTTCAGGGTGAGGCAGTAGCATGTGCTTACAGGCTGGGGCTTTGGTGCACAGTGGGTGCTTTTGGTGGGGGCGCAGCGTGGGAGTGGGCTCTCCAGAAACGCTACACAGCGGGAGCGTCTGAGAAGGTCCTTGGAGCTGTTCTCGGTCGCCCCCTTCGAAATGACTACTCTCGGGACTGACTGGGGCCGTGATGGGACACCCAGGGCGACCACAGGTGGAGTGGGTGAAGGGCTCCCAAGTCCACAAAGTGTAGGGGCCTGGGATCTGGAGCGAGCTGGGCCTCGGGTCAAGTCTGCCTCTGCAGATGACTGCAGGGGTGGCCTCGGGCCAGTCACCCTGTTCGCCCTGAATGAAGTGCGACTAGCCCTTGGCCAGCACCGCTGGGGTGTCACGGGCATGCAGCGCGATGGCGGAGGGGCAGGCGCTTCGTGAACTGCCAAGTACTGTGCCTGTCCCAGTAAGCAACGCTCCTGCCATGCCCTCAGAGGCCTCCCCTGGCAGCTCGAATAAGTAAGTGAGGAGTTAAACCGTCAGTCCCTTCGAGGATTCAGGCATTGAGGGAAAGGGGGACTGAGGCAGTTAGGATAGGGTTCGGCTCCAGGGGGGCCCTGGGTGGGGCCATAGGGGCCTCTCTGCCCACCTCGTCTCTGCTCAGCTAAGCACACAGCAAGGCACTTCCAGCCCTCACGGTGCAGCGAGACCTAGAGGTCAGGCTCTCCCTCGTACAATCAGGGAGACAGTAGCCCAGAGAGGGCGCGGCCATACCCAGGGGAACACAGGGAGAACAGAGATGAGGTCCCGGGTCTCCTCCGCGCTACCCACCAGGTTTAAGGCAGAAATGTCTCATCCCAGCAGGTGTGACTCAGTGACACATGTTTATTCCCAGAGTCCAGATTCCACAGTGGGGCGAGGGGTCCCCCTGCCCTCCTCTGGCTCAGCGCCTCCTCACGGGCGTCCTCAGATGCGGATGTGGAAGGTGCTGTGTGCAAAGAGGAAACCAGTCCGTGTCATCAGGCCGAGGGCAGCCCTGCTGCATCTTCCTCCCCAGCCCTCCCGCCAGGAGGCCCCTTGCAGGCCAGGAGTCCCGGGGCAGGTGGAGCCCTCTCAGGAAGCGCCCCACCCGGCCCCGCGCTGTAGGCCTGCGGCCCCCCGCCCACACCGGGGGTTGGGGGCACATCACTTGAATCAGTTTACACCCTGACTTGCTGTGGGGTTCTGAGTGAGCGGTGGCTGCCCCTGCCTGGGCCTCCTTTTACTCCCCTGTGAAATGGGGAGAATGGCTGCCCCTCCTTCAGGGGGGCCGTGCTGAGGTCTGAGAGCGCCACCCACGGAAGGTGCGCCATCATCCCGCTGTCATTATTCACGGCTCCATCCGCCAGGGGACCAGGCTTGCTTATCCGGCATGAGAAAGGAGGCCCCCTGTGCAGGTATGGATGCCACCAATAGGAACAGCCACACCAGCAACCATGGCAAACAGTTACTGAGTGCCTACTGCGTGCCAGGCACTGCTCTAAATTCATTCCGTGGATTAACTCAGGGGTCAACCAACTTTTTTTCTGGAAAGAGCCAAACGGTTGATATTTCTGACTTTGCACAATGACTAACTCTGCATGGTAGCTCGAAAGCAGCCACAAACCATATGTGCACAAAAGGGCAAGACTGTATGCCCATAAAATAACTGACCCAGAAATTTCAATTTCATATTACTTTCATGTGTCCTGGAGTATTATTACCCTTTGATTATTTTCCCAACCATTTAAAAATGCAATTTTTATTTTTTTATTTTTATTTATTTATTTATTTTTTTTTTGCTGTTGCAACATTGCTTTATCAGTTTATTTCTTTAGAAAGGTTTTTGGTGTTTTTTTTTTTTTTAAGGATTTTATTTATTTTTTACAGAGAGGTGAAGGGAGGGAGAAAGAGAGGAAGAGAAACATTAAAGTGCAAGAGAAACATCGACCAGTTGCCATTGATTGGTTGCCTCTCACACGTCCCAACCGGAAACCTGGCCCACAATGCAGGCATGTGCCCTGACTAGGAATCGAACTGGCGACCTTTCAGTTTGTAGGCTGGCACTCAACCCACTGAGCCATACCAGCCAAGGCAAAAAAATGCAATTTAAGAAACTATTCTTAGCTCATTGGAGGTTCAAAACACAGATGGTGGACCACCGCCTGTGCTAATTCAGTAACCCTTGCTCTCCACCCTGCAGCGGGGGCGCTGATCCTGCCCAGCGCTGCCAAGTACAGCTGTGCAAACTGTTCACTGCAAAGTGTTCAGGCAAGTGAGGACTGAAGTTCATCCGCGATCCACTCACCCAAAGAGCTGTGACCACGCCTGGGAGTTGGCCATGGGGTTCCTAGTTCTTCCTATTTTAAAGATGCAGGGACTGGAGCCAGGGAGGTTGGGAAAGTTCCCCAAGGTCACACGTGAATGAATGAAGGAACTTTCGCAAATGGAGTCTGCGAACTAGATCCATAAGATCCTTATTCACACGTGGAAATGGACTTAGTGGGGCGGCAAGGAGTGTCACCTGAGGAAGTCGGGCGCCCGCAGGATCATGTTCTGGAAGTCTTCCAGGGACAGCCGCCCGTCATGGTCCCCATCGGCCTCATCCAGCACCTTCTCGCATACCAGGGTCACCTCCTCGGCGCTCAGCTCCCCCCGCGTCAGCTTGGTCACCGTCTGCTCCAGGTCCCACATACAGATGTAGTCATCATTGTTAAAGTCTGCACAGTAGGAAGGATGGGGATGCAGGTGAGCAGACAGCAGGTGGCAGGCAGGCTGGCCCACAGGGGTATATCTTGTCCCCATGCTACAGAGGTGGAAACTGAGGCACTGGAGGGAACCCAAGATCCTCAGAGAAGAGCTGGATCTTCCTTTGAATTGGGCAGGCACAAGTTCATTCATTTATACATTCAACAAGTATTTATTAAGCACCGTGGTAAATTTTCATTTATTCATTCAAGTATTATTGACCACTTATTACGTACCAGGCACAATGATAACTGTTTTTCACTCATTCATTTACTCAGCAAGTATTTATTGAGGGCCTGCTGCGTGCCAGGCACTGTTATATATTTTCATTCATTCATCCAACAGGAATTTATCGAGCACCTACTATGTGCCTGGCACAGGAGATGAACAGTGAATCAGATAGACACTGTTGCTACCCTGGGTCTCCTCAGAGGGAAAGTCAGTAAGAAGTGAGCAGATCAATGAACAAGAAATTAAGCAGCGTTACTCCATGCTAGGAGAGAAGTAAAACGGGGTTGGGGCGGGGAGGATGCCTGGGGGAGGGGCTACTTTTGACGGAGACTCCCGGGTGAGGAGGAGACGCGGGGGGGCGGGGGGGGGATGTGTTCTGGGCAGAGGAAACCGCGGAGGCAGACTCTGTGGCGGCAGTTTGGTGTGTGGGCGGAAGGGCGAGGCCAGAGGGGCTGGAAAGGAGCAAGCAAGGAGATGAGGGCGGGAGGCCCGGGGTGGGTGGAAGCCAGGGCCAAGCTGGGCCTCAGAGCCCTCAGAGCCCTCTGGGGGACCCCGTGACAGTAGGGCAGCCCCTGGCCCTGGGGCTGATCTTGTTCCCACTCCCGACCGCACAGCCCCCACCCAGAGCCCTGCACGCACCATAGATTTTAAAAGCGTAGTAGGCTTTGAGGTCACGGGGAGCCATTTCACTCATCACAGAAAACATGTCCAGGAAATTGTCCAAGGTCATGTGGCCGTCCCCGTCCTCAGAGAAGACCTGGGCGATCCTCTGTCGGAACGGATTGTCCTGGGGACAGGAAGCAGGGAGGCCATCCCTGACTAGGGTCTCAGGCTCCATGTGGTCTCATTCCTAGCATTCACCTTCCTGGGACCCTCCAAGTACCCGCCACCAAAACTGCCTCCCACCCATGGTCCCCGGACAGGACTTCAGGAACCTTCACTCTCTGCCTCAATGGTCTGGGTGGCGGTGTCCCTACCTCCAGCTAAGGGGGCAGTCACATGACCTGGGTGAGGACACGCAGATTTCTCTCCACCTGGCAACTGCGATTGGCTCTGAGATAGGCATGTGACTTCAACAGACCAATCAGAGGCTGCCCTGGGATGTTTCTGAAAAGTTGGGATGAAGGACCCTGCTTTCTGCTGGTTGCAGAGCTGACAGGAGGGAATCTAGGCTCTGGGGTTCCCTTCACTATCTCAAGAAGGAGGGCTGGTTGAGACTGAAGCCTCTTCCTGGGAGGAGCTGAGACTGGGAAGGAGATTCCCAAGCCCATCCTCAGAGCCCCTGTTCCCAGCTGCACCTGATGCTAGCCCCGCCCCTGGATTTTTGCTCATGGGATCCAATCTGTTCTGTCCCTCTTGAATGAGGTTTTTGTACCTTGTGATACAATAGTCTCTATACACAGTCACTCACTCCACAAATCCCCTTCAGAGGCACAAACCGCGTGTTGGATATCCAGTTGAGAAGACCCTGCATGTAGCTGCTCCGACTATGAAAAGAGCTCACGTTCCCTGAGTACTTGCCGTGCAACGGGCCTTGTGCTAAGCCCTCTGCCTGTATCACCCTATCTCATCCTCCCAACACTTCAGGGTTTGAATACTGTCCCTGCCAGATCCTGGCTGTGTGGCCATGAACTTCAGTTTTCTCATCCATGAAATGGGAGTAATCGCAGCACTCACCTCATAGGCATGTGGCATCGCTACTCTTTCCCTGCCTGCCCCATCGCCTAAGCGTACCTTCAGCTCGGGCATGCTGCCAATGAGCTCGTAGGGCACCTTCACATCCGGGCAGCTGGTATAGTCGAGGGGGACAAGCTGGGGGGCAAGGTCCTGGTAGCGATAGAAGAGCCTGGTATAGGGATGGAAACACGGGGAAGGTTTGGGAGCTGCTGGGAGGGAGGGGACTGGACCCTCCTCTCTCACTTGCAGCTGCTCACTCCGTACTGGAAGATGCCAGGTTCCTAACCGTTAGCCCAGTGCCCAGCCTTCAGGCCCACAAGCACCTCTATCTCCCTGGGGTCATGGCCAAGGTAGAGGAGGGCTCTAGAGCTCCGCGAGACCAGAGTCGGGGGAGCAAGCCAAGGAGGAGGAAAGACTTCCTGAAGGAGGAGGTATTGATGCTGGGTTTTGAAGCATCAGTAGGAGCTCACCAGGTAGAGGGGGTCGGCAGGAGAAAGAGTGCATAAGGTGAGATTCCACAACAAGCGTTCAGGGAGTCAGAGCCAACCTATGATTCTGAACATCATCACACTATTGTCAAGACCATGCCTCTAAAGACCCTCTTCCTCACACTTTCCTTCTCTACCTCCATAATGGGAAGCAGGGTTCCCCAGAGGGGTAGAGCAGAGGCAAAGGCCCATATTCAGGTGCTTTGAAAGGGTTACTGAAATGCATTTTGGAAAACACCAAATGCCATGCACAGCACTCAGCCTGGGAGGCCAGCTCCCCAGTGCGATGCTCCCCTGGCGATGCCGTGCCTTCGCTGCAGCACGCAGGGCAGCGGCCTGTAGCGGCCATCCTTGATGAGGGAGAGGCCCCGGAGACTCTGGGGACTGTCTCGGAAGGGGACAGGGGCCCCTGGGTCCTGTGATGACTAGGAACTTAAGGAGGGAGCATCTGGAATCCAGTCACGACCACCCAGTTCCTTGCTCGGGTCCCCTCGGGGAACAACCTGAGTTTGGGTTTCTGTGCGGACTTGAGCCAGTCCCTCTTCCCGTCTGAGCCTCAGTTAGTCTGTCTAACAAGTGAGACGCTTGGGACGGACGAAACGTCAGCTCTCAAATTCCTTGGGATTCAGCCTACCTGCAAAGCCGGGGTCAACCTCGCCTGCCTGCGCCTCAGTTTCTCCATCAGTAATTCGATCACGATGGCCAGGGTGACCCTGCGGACGGTCCTCGCCCAGACAATGGGGCTCACTTGTGAAAGGTGTGCCCATCAATAATGGATGTCCTGTGCCCACACAGTTGGGCCCTTGGCCCTGATCGCTCTGCAGCCGAACCCTGGCCAGCTTGGGTTTCACAGCTCCAAGCTCCTGGGTCAGGGCCTCTGGACAATGGACGATGGGCCGATCGATGCTGTGGGGCGCCCATCTATGCCTTTCTCGCTCACGCCAGGGACTTGCAGCAGCAGCCTCAGGGCACCTCCCCGAACGCTCACCTTGATGGCGGTCCCAGAGCCCAGAGCTGGCTGCGGGCTCTGCCTCTGCGCTCCCACCTCCAGCCCCAGCCCCTTCACACTGGCCTCAGGGGGGACCTTCCAACATGCTGATCTGTCTCTCCCCTGTTCACACGCTCTCCATGGCTCCCTGCCATCCCTGGGAGAAAGCTCAAGCTTGTCAGCCTGGAGGCGTGACAATTTGACAAGGTGTGGCTTCTCAGCCTCCGCATCTCTGCCTCCATCTCCTGACCACTACACTCTGCCATGAGTCCTGGTAAATTGCTAGTATCCACTAGCAATGTACAGAAAGTTGTTTCCGGGTCTTCCTCCCTTCCTCCCCAGACTGACCTCATGATTTCCTTCCTCGTGAAGAAGGTGCAGTCCTGTGGAGAGAGATGTTGGCTTGGCTCAGGCCCTGCCCAGGGCAGGAGAGGGGCTCCTTCCTCTCCCCACCACCTCAGGCTCGTCTCTCCTGACACTGCGCACAGAAATCCTCGTGGGCCGCACAGCCAGGACCAGGGAATGCTGTCCCCAGTCCCCAGGCCAGGAATCCAAGGCTGCCAAATGCACTGAGGGCCCTGCGCATCACTCTTACCTGATACGCTTCCAGCTGCTCATTAGTGAAGACTGTCTGCTTGTTGCCCATTGTGAAGGTCACTGCCAGGAACAGGCTTGAGAAGCCCCCAGTCTCCTCAGGGCCACACGGTTGCCAGGCTGCCACACACCAGTGTCTGGGAAAATCTCCCTGCCCTGGCTGTCACCTGCCCACCCGCCCCGTCACCCCCAGCCTGGGTGAGACTCAAGTTACAGCCAAGCCCTTTGGCCAACAGCCTGATTATGTCCATGGCCACCAGGGCTGTAGAAGGTCACAGAGCCTCAGACCACATCTGCCACCACCAGAGGAGCCTGTGGTGAGGGGACACCTTCCAGAGACAGGCAGAGTGGTCGAGAAGCTGCGAGCATACCTCAGCTCAATTACCAGTCCTCCGCCCACAAACTGTGTGACCTCAGGCAAGTCACCTGACCTCTCTGAGCCTTATTTTATAACATGCAAATTACTGTAGTACCTACCACATAGAGTTGACCTGGAGATCCAATGGTCGCTAATGCAACCAAAAAATGGGGCTTACTAATCAACAGGCATAAAGCTTCAGTCAAACAAAATGAATAAGCTCTAAGACCTGCTGTACAATATTGTACTTATTATAGTCAATGTATTTTTGTGCAGTTAAAAATTTGAAAAGGATAGATCTCATGTTAAATGTTCTTACCACAATAAAATAAAATAAAATAAAATAAAATAAAATAAAATAAAATAAAATAAAAACATACAATTATCATATGGTCCAGCACTCACATTCTTGGGCAGTCCCAAAGAAATGAAAACTTATGTTTGCACAAAAACCTGTAATGGATGTCTTATTCATAATAGCCCCACACGGGAAACACCTCATATGTCCTTTCCCTTTAGAACGTAAGTTATTAATGGGGGCAATATTACCCACAAATGGACAAAAATTCGTCCAGGGTGGGATTAAAAAGGCTTCGATATTTCAGTGGTTTGTGGCCCTTCAAAGCTTAACCCACTCAAACAATCTCTTATTCACTAGTATTAACTTCTCTACTAAATTAAATTTAAATTAAGTTAAAGTGTTCCTTTTTAGGGGTTGATAATGAGAAAAAAACGATTGAGTTATACTGGCTTAAAAGTATTTACACATATTTACAATGGATGGTTTCATAGTGCGGTGACAAAAGCAGGGATGAAACACGCAGCATAAGTTGGATTACAGTTGTGCCTCAGTTTCCCTACCTACAAAATCAGGATGGTCTATGTAATAGAGTGGCTGTAAGAGTAAATGAGATGATTCATATAAGTTTATACAAAATATTAGTTATTGTTATCATCATCCCCATTTTGTGAGGAAAGGGAAGACAGAGTCATCAAGACGCTTTCTCTAGGGCACAAAGCCTTGGAAGTGCCAGCGACGAGCGCCACAGCTGCTGGGTTGGCTGGGGGAGAACAGATTTCTCCATTTGAGCCTGTTCTGTCCCACTCTAAGGAGGTGATTCTGTCATGGATGGCCCCAAGAGGAAGCTGGCACAGGCTGGCAGCCCCCCTTCTTTTTCTTTCTTTTTTTTTCTTTTTTTTTTTTTTTTGGCACTCATCTAATTCTGGAATGCCAAATGTGAGCCTAGGGCTGGAGAATTGCGCGGTCGCTTGCTGCCCCCTGCTGGTAAAAGTGGGAAATGCAGGCACCGAGACTTCCTTTGTCCAGTGTCGTCTAGTTTGGGATGCTTGGTTTTTATTCCTTCCTTCATCAACTACTTTCCTCCCGTCCAAAGTCCCTGGCACAATTTGGGCACCAGTAGTAGAAATTAAGATGCATGTTACCCCCTCAAAATATGGCAATAAAAGAAAACAGGATGTCCAAATGCACACAAAACACTCAAAAAAGACATTGGGTTTTAAGAAATGTGGTTTGTTAAATTGGTTTCACTCGTCGAGGGAGGGGCCAAAGGCAGAGAAACCGGAAGTAGGCTCCAAAGCCGGAGGTGTGTCAAGAAACAGGACGCTAAGGATGCCGTAGAGCCTGACTCTCCCGGCCCAGCCCGTAACCCGGAAGTGTGGCCCAAGTCAGACGCCAAAGGCTCATGAGCACCACCTAGTTCGGCCAATCAAGACGAAGTGAGGCGGGAGTTTGGCCGGATATAGTGTTCTAAAGCCGGAAGTTTGGTAGTTTACCTCTGAACTGCGGACAGGCGCCATGGCGGCCTACGAGCAGGTCCAAAAGGGGCCTTTGAAGCTGAAAGGCGTCGCAGAGCTTGGCGTGACCAAGCGGTGAGTCCCAAGAGCTCACGGGAACCCATCTTCTGCTGAGACCCCGGGCTCTTGCTCTCTGACCCGACCTTACCTCATCTGCCCCCTCACTCCCGCCACGTCTCCCCATCCAGGAAGAAGAAAAAGAAGGACAAAGACAAGGCGAAACTCCTGGAAGCCATGGGAACGAGCAAAAAGAACGAGGAGGAGAAGCGGCGCGGCCTGGACAAGCGGACCCCGGCCCAGGCGGCTTTCGAGAAGATGCAGGAGAAGCGGGTGAGGCGGATGGATAGGCTGGGGATGCCCCGCTCCGTGGCCTGGGTCTCCTGGAGTAGGTGCTTAGGAAGGACCGGGAGACTCGGAACCCGGACAGCCTGGGAAGAGCCAGAGGTGGCGTTGAAAGGAGGCAGAGCTGGAGGCCCGGGTTTGGTTTCCAGGGCTGCCCCTCATTTGCCCTGTGACACTGGACCGATAACTCGTCTTCTCCCCGTGCCTCAGTTTTCTCCTCTGTGGGGGTCAGGGTAGTAATTTTCATCTTTGGAATGCAAATACATTTGTCGTTAGGTCTGGTGTAAAGTCAATGCTCAGTTAATACTGGTTGCTGATGTTAGATGGCTATGCTCCCTGCTGTAGGTAACCACAAAGTCTGTTTCCATGACGGCTTTGTTGGCACATTCAAATATGTTGTTTTTTAAAGTTCTGTTAAATTACTTATTTTATTATTAAACACTTAGTAAATGTAGGCGGTGAGGGGATAGGGAGGATCAGCTTTACACAGATAAGCTTGGTCTCTTTTGCTGGGGGTAGGGAATAACAGGTCGAGGTCAATGGTTCTTAGCTGAGGGCCGTGTTGTCCCCCTACTTACATTCCCAAGAAGTCTTTTTAATTTGTCACAACTCGGGCAGTGTGCTCCTGGCACTAGTGGATGGAGGTCAGGGATGCTGTTCAACATCCTACAGTGGTTGAGACAGCGCCCCCTACAGGAAAGAATGTGTCCAAAACTCAGTAGTGTCCAGGTTGAGAAACTTAACCAGGCTGTGTTGGGTGATTTGTTCCAGTGACATTAGGGAAAAGTTTACTCACTGCTACCAGGCCTAATTCAGTCGTACAAAAAGAGAGAGAGAGAGAGATGCTCTGGCTTTGACAAAACAGACCTGGGTTCCACTCTGTCTCTGTCTCTACCATTTGTTGGTGGTATAACTCAGGGTAAGTTGGCTAACCTCCCACACCTCAGTTTCTTCATATGTAAATGGGGCTGAAGTCCTTACCTCATTGGTTTGTGGTGAGGATTTAACAAGTGAATGCAGTTAAGTCCCTTCCCTAAGGTTGTAGGCAGAGGCTGGGCTGGGATGTTACTCCAGGAGCAGGGGTAGTTAGGGGAGAAGCTAATGCAAACTGCAACTACAAGGTCAGGCAGTAATAGTGGAAGCTATGCAAGGTGTCAGGTTTAGGGTAGATTTTGAAGTAAGAACAGCAGGATCAGCTGATGGATTGGGTGTGGGCTGGGAAGGAAGACTCAAGGATGACCAAAAATTTTGGCAGAAGCTGGGTGGATGAAGATACCGTTTACTTAGATAGGAAGGGCTGCACGTAAAACAGGTTTCTAAAGGAAAGTATCAAAAACTCAGTTTTAGCCCTGGCTGAGTAGTTCAGTTGGTTAGAGCATCATCCCAGTACGCCAAGGTTGTGGGTTCAGTGATCGGGGTATGTACGATATTCAACCAGTGAATGCATTAGTGGGTGGAACAACAAATTGATGTTTTTCTCTCCCTTCCTCTCTAAAATCAATTTTTAATAAAAGACCTTGGTTTTAAAAAAGTCAAATTTGAGGTGCCTGTTAGAAATCCAAGTGGAGAATTCTCGTGGTCACTTTGACATCTGAATCTGCAGTTTTGTGGAGAGGCCTGAATCCCAGATAAACATTTTCAATTGCTGTGGGACTGGATGAACTTCTCTGAGGGACAGTGACAGAGAAGAGGTCTAAGGTCTAACCTCTGGTGATTAGAGGGTCACAGAAGAAATTGCAAAGGAGCATGGGAAGGAGGAATACCAGGAGAGAGAATGTGTTTATAGGAGCCAAGTGGGGAAAGTGTTTCAAGGAGGAGGAAGTGATTGACTGTCACATGCTGCTAAGAGGTCTTGTGGGGTGAGCACTGAGAACCCTTAGTTGGCATTTGGAATGAGGAGGAAGGCTGTTTAATATTGTGTGTCAACTATAATTAAAATAAAGAGGAAGGTGGATTAGAGTGGATCCAAGAGAAGGTGGAGGAAAGTGGAGGAAGAACAGTTATGGCCCTTGGGAGATTTACTGTCAAGGGCAACAGAAAAACGGGCCGGTAGCTGGAGGTGGTGGAAGAGGAAATTTTTGTTGTTGGCATTTAAAACCAAAAGTACTGTTGCCAGCTTTGTTTGACCCAGGAGACAGAGGTGAGGCGGATGAGAGAAGGGAGGTGTGGGTGAAGTTAGGTGTAGTTGGGCATTGCGGATTCCCTCATGCAGGATGTTTGATCGAGCACAGGGGGCACAAAGACTGGACAGGTCCTGGCTCCTGGGAGCAGGGCCCTTGCAGTGGGCCTCTGCCTATTGGGAGGGGTCAGGGCTTGGTATCTCCAGGCCCATCACCCCCTGTGAACTCTGGTCCTTATATTCTCTGTATGTTAAATGGAGATGGTGACAGCACCCAAGACACCCTGTGAACCTGGTGCATGGACAGAGGGGAGATGAGGCAGAGCCCTGCCAAGGGCCTGGCATTGGTGACAGCCAGTCAAGTCAGTTCGGCCTCTTGTGAGGAGGCACAGGCCTCACGTGGGCCCACAGCAGCAGGAAGAGAGGCGGGATGGGCACTTCAGAGGGAGGGTCAGCCAGCTGGGAGCTGACTGGAGGCAGAGGAAAATGAGGCAACAGAGGAGGAGAGACAGGGAGCAATAGCCAGGTGGCAGCTGACAGTATTATCTCATGGGTCTGTGCATTGAAGGGCTCAGCAGGGTGGTTCTGCTGACCTTGCTTGGAGTCTGGCACAGTCAGGGCAGCTGGGGCTGGAGGCCCAATTGGGCTGGAACATCCAAGATGGTTTTGCCATCTTATGTCCAGTGTCTCAGTGCTCCTTCCATGGACTCTCCCCGCAAGTCATTTCATCTGCCAGGCCCTTTCTTTCCCATGAGGTCATCAGACTTCCTGCAGGGTAGGTGGCCTCCTTGGGCACAAAGCAAAAGATGCTGGGTCGTCTTCAGGCTTCAGGCTCGTATTGACACTACATTCTGTTAAGTAAACTGAGTCACAGGGCCAGTCCTGAGTCAGAGTGGCAGACAACTGCACAAGACCATGAATACCGGGCAGCACAGTTCCTAGATGTACAGGGTTAGGGGTGGGCCACCAAAATGTGTCAGCCACAGTCACCTAGCTAATGTAGAGCCAGGTACAACCCCTGGTCTGCCTGGCTCTGCATCCCACTCTCAGCTCTTACCAGGTACCATTGGATATTGGGAATGAGCAGTGGGGCAGGGCGTGGTCGTGGTGGGTGCATAATCTAGAATCACAATCGCTTCTCGGCCATTTGGCTAAGATCAAGTGTAGAATCACTCACAAAGGTGATCTGCATCTTGCATTCCTCATGGTACTGTGAGCATCAGGGTGGATGCCATCACTTAAGCACCTACTGGGCGTCAGGCCCTTTGCTCATTTCTTACCCTTCCTCAAATCCCCTCTGGTACTTTGTTTTTCTGCAAGATGGGAATTCTGTCAATTGCCCAAGGAAGCAGGAAGCACTTGTACAGCTCCTACCTGAGTCTACCTAAGTTGGTTCTAGTACATTTCCTGCCACTTAGACCAAAGGGCAGCTGACCTAGGTTTCTAGTGGGATGTATTGTAGCCAAGTGTCCCTCTTGGACCAGCCTGAGTGGACTTGAGGGACTTGGGACCTCCAGCTGTTATTTAGGTGTGAGAGCCAGGCCAGCCAGGGCTCCCACCTCCCATCCTGTGCCATTTTGGGATGTGTCAAGCATGTAACTCACCTGCACTTCTCTCCTCTCTTCAGCAAATGGAAAGGATCCTGAAGAAAGCCTCCAAAACTCACAAGCAAAGAGTAGAGGTAAGTCACATGCCCAGTGCAGAGGCTGAGCCACATAGGTCCCTACTGGGCCCAGAGGCTTGAAGCCTGGCAGAGGAGCTATCGAAGGGTCAGTGGGCAGGGCGTTTACCCCACGCCCTTGGGGTCATTTAAGGGAGAGGGCAGGGCTTAGGTGGCTATGAGCCCTGGCAGGGTGGCTTTGAGAGGCGGGGTTCACGGAGGGGAAACAGGATGTGGAGAAGCAGAGGTGGATGGTGCCACATGTCCCTAGAGCCCTGCTTGGTGCTGTGATGACATGGGCTTTTTTCCTTGGCTTCCCCAGGACTTCAATAGACACCTGGATACACTCACGGAGCACTATGACATTCCCAAAGTCAGCTGGACGAAGTAGCTTCCCTGCCCCGGTATGGAGTGGCACCGAGGGGAAACAGAAGGCCAACTTGGGATTATGTTTGGTGCCTTTGGTATTTTCTGGAAACATTCTTTTACATACACCTTTGCATCTTCTGCTGAGACTGTACTTCATCAGAGCAGTGTGCCCTCATTCTGGAACTTGATTAAATTAAGACTCTTTCACTCTATTTTAGTTTCTCATTAGCACACTGAAGATTAACCTTTTTAGTTTGGACTGGAAATTACTGAGAGTTTATCCAGAGGTTAAGGTTATTGCTGTGTAAGGGCCATGGAAGTGTTTTTACACCCAAGTTGCATCAAATTCATTTTGACAGGCAGCCATCTACCCTTGCCTGGGTGAAACTGACTCCAGAAGAGAAGCTGCAACAGGCAGACCCCTGTGGGGCCCTGCATGGGCTGCCTTTCACGCTTCTGTAGCTTGGGGCTTATGCTGTTCCATCCAGAGCCTGGGGAAGCCACTTGCAGTTTTGTGGCCTTCAGACTGCCTCCTCAGCCACCTGGCCAGGGAGAATAACCACCCAAGGCAAGGATGGGACAAACACCTTGCCCCTTTGTGAGCCGAGCTGGTGACTGGCATGCAGCCTGTTCCCCCAGTATCCCCATTCCAACATGTCAAGTGGGTGCTGCCATGGCAGGTATTGCCAGTCAAATACTGTGTTCTTTGTAATGGGACCCAGATACCACCTGCCCCACTACTCTCGCCCCTGGGCTCCTAGCAGACCCAGAGTTTATTCAGAGTTGGCACATACATGGAAATCTGTTTGGAACTTCTGGCCTAAAGACTCCTCAGCATGATGGGACAGGGACAGAGCCCCTGCATAGACACAGGTGCAGCCCAAGGGGAGGGCCCAGGTTCCAGTGCTGGAGAGCCAGGGTCTTTTGAGGGCCTGCTTGTCCCTGCCACATGAGGGTCAGAGTGGGAGAAAAAGCCTTTGTTGACATAGATCTGGAAAAAAGAATTCAGAAGAGAAGCCTAAGTGTTGGATTTGTGGCTGTCATATATGAGCTGCAAAATAAAGCAAACCATTTGTTAAACATAAGTCTGAGTGTTTTAAATTACAGGCTGTTTATCACTGGAAACTCTGCCTTTGTATATATTGCACATGAAAAATGTATAGCAAAATGATGATTTGCCCTCAATTTGGAGAAAAATTACAAGTGTTCCCACCTGTGGTTCACAGCTCGCCTAAGAGGGGTGACAGGCTCATTAGCACTGACTCTTTAGGGCAGCCTCTCCTATTGCCTGGTATAAAGGCACTTGCAGGTCTTTTCTCCACGAGCCAGCAGTTGGGGTCTGAAGTGTGATGTGATGTGAAAAGTCAGTATGTGGAAGATAAACATTCCAATCCTCCCTGCCTAATAAACCTCTCCAAAACGGAGTGGCTTAAAATTACAGGATTTCTCTCCCAGTTCTGTTGGTTGTGCTCAGCCAGGTGGTTCTCCATGTGGTGTAGCTTAGTTCCCTTGTATAGCAGCACTGACTTGCCTGGGGTCTGGAAGCTCAAGATGGCATCTCATCCTTGAGCTTTCTCTCCACGTAGGCTATTTGACCAAACAGGTCACATCACCTAATCTGTGAGGGAACAATAGAGTTTCTTAGAAGAAATTGTGAAGAAGCCTCTCTGGGTTGCTTTGTGCAAGAACACTTCCAGACTAGGAAATGTTCCAGTGTTTTTGGTTTTCCTGCACTTACAACTCTATCCTAAGCAGAGGATATATCGCAAAAACCATCTTTCGAAACCCCAGAGGGAGATAAGGAGAAACAAAAGCGTCGGGCAGGAAGCGTGAGTAAATGGTTCTGATACTGCAGTGTTGGGATCAGCAAGGTACTGTACCGTTGGCACCGAGTGCAGGCATTTTCCCACAGCTTAAGTGTTCATAAAAGCAAATGAGATACAATTCAATTGACTAATTGGGGTCACTTAATTACAGAAATAAAACACGTGCTTTCCCCGCAGCTGATATGGGGAGCGGTTTTCAGATTATCTCGGGCAATAAATAGGCACGTTTGTTCACTGACGAAGGTTGACACTAAAAGGTGACACTAACAGGTGACAGGCAGTGACTGTTGATTAGGTTTGATTGCCACTCAAGATTTGTTTGCCCTCTTTCCAAGAAACCACCACCCTACCCCTCCCCATAAAATCACAATTGGCGACTGCATATTTATTTGCTTCCTAGACTCCCCCACGAGAATAATTCCACAGGGCGGGGCCCCAAATGGATCCAGCAGTGGGATCGCTCACCTAACTTAGCTCACAGGTCGGAGTTCCCAGCTGCCAAGTCTTCGTTGTCCAGCTGGATCGTGCCCGTTCATCAGTCGGCGCCGCCCGACCCCACTCCTCTGGGTCTTACTTCCGGGATACTTCGGGTGGGAGTGGGAAATAGTCTCATCGGGCGCATTGCGCCTGCGCCTACTCCGCCCCGCGCCTGCGCATTTCTGGCAGCTCCGCCCGCAACCGGACATAACGGTCCTCGCGCGGCTCCCCGGACCGGAAGTGGAGGCGAACCGTCGCAGGGAGTGCCTGGCCTTCCTCAACGCCCGGCAGTTCCTGCCGTCGCCACGGCCCTCGGCCACTGCCGAGGCTACCCACAGCCGCCATGTCCGCCAGTGCCGTTTACGTGTTGGACTTGAAGGGCAAGGTACGGAGGGCTCTCCCCCTCCCCGTTGCCAGGCAACCGGCGAGGACCTCGCCCCTCGGGACCCACCCAGGACCTCGCCCCTGGGGACCCAACCTATTGCTGGGTAACCGCCCAGTGGGGCCCATCCTGGTCCTAAGCAAAGAAACCGATAGGTCTCACTCTGGTGCTTGGTAACTGGTCTGCTCACCCTCACTCCTCCTGAGGGGACGGGTCTCAGACCTCCGTGGAGGCTGCGGGGAGGGCGAGCCGCAGCCTGCTTTGGAGCCAGGCCTAGAGCAGAGCGGCTGCACGATCTTGGGCCGGAGGTGGCGAGGCATGTCGGGACCAGTGTGTCCCCGGGCCAGTTCCGCCCTCCTGGTCTGCTGCAAGCTTCTGTTTACCTGATAGTTTCTCTTTGTCAATCCCTATGAATTTATTAACGTTCGTTGTGATATTAAGTTACAAGGGTTAGGCAAGGTGGGTGATGGGAGAGCCATTTTACAGAAGGGAGAAGCTGAGGCACGGATAAATAACAGGGCCCACTCGAGGTCACACTGGTCCCAGAGAAGTGGTAGCTTGAGTGAACCCAGACCCATTTGTTCATTCAGCTGATAATTTGAGGAGCACCTCCTAGGTCCCAGGCAGGGTGCTAAGCCTTGGACCGCCTGGGGCTGCCTTGGGTGAGCACAGAGTCAGGTGTTGTTCTTCTGGAGCTCACAGTTTGAGGGAGAGGGACACTGATCTCAAAAAGTTCAAGTAAATGTAAATTGCAGTGGCGCCACAGTGAGGATGGCCACAGTGAGGATGGAACGGGGAGACTCAGCCTCAGCTGGGGGTCAGGGAAGGCTCCCTGAAGGGAGTGACAAATCTGGCTGAGATACGACGGAGGAGTTGGACGTAACTAGAACCCAGGTGCCTTTTCCAAGAGTGTCTGAGAAAGCTGCTTAGGGGACTCAAATCCTTTCAGAAGTCTGCTGCATCACCTCTAGTCCATCCTGCTGGTTGGAAGGCAAGTGAATATCTGGCCTCTTGCATCTAGGAGCAACAAGAAGAAGCCCAACAGCATTAAACTTTTAAGTCCTGCGTTGATGAGTGAGAGAACCGTGGGTGTTGGGCCCAGGCGGTGCAGGCAGGAGTCAGCTCAGAAGTAGGGGAAAGTGAAGTTGAAGTGGCTGCTGCTTCCTGTCCTCCCTACCCCAGCACTTTCCCAGAATTCTTGAGTGCGTTGCCTGCTTTGGATGCCACCCAGAGTCAATACCCAGCAGTCCCCAGTCCTGGGCTCCCTCCTCCAGCCTTCTTAAAGGCAAGGAAGGACACAGGGCATGCCAAGGCTAGGAGGGTGCTAGGTGGGTCCCTAAGTCCGGGCAGCGTATGTTCTTACTACCACCTTGGCTACCAGGTCCACAGGATGCCTGTCACAGCTCACTTGTTCAGCCACCATGTCAGCAGCACCTAACATGCACTAAGCTGTGTGCTGACCACTGAACTGTGACTGTGGAGTTAGGGCTGAGGTCAAAGCTCAGTGGTAAGCCCTTGGGCAAGGGCCTTCGCCACCCGGGGCCCACAGCCCATACTAGCGCTCCTGGGCCTGGAGATCTGGCAGGGGACACACAAGGATCCAGATGGTCAGCTCCAGTTAGCCATAGGGCAAGGACGAGACCCCAGGCAATGCAACTACCTGTCCTCAGGCAGTTCGCTTCTACCTGTCTTCGCTTCTGGGAAGAGCTGGAAAGGTGACCACATGGCAGTCAATTGAGCGTTGCAGTGGGCTCGGATGGTGAGGAGCGTGGAGAAGTTTTGGGTAATGTTTTGGGTAATGCTGGAGCGTGGAGGATGGCACGAGGACAGCCGGGGGTGTTGGGATGTCCAGGAAGGACAGGGCCAGAGGGGGCCATTTCAATCTCAGGGAGGAGGAGCCGCGATGAGGAGACGGTAGCCCCAGAGAAGCGTGGTCAGTCCGCCTTGTGGGAAGCTCCTGAGGCAGCCATCACATCGTCTATTATTCCCCTCCCCGCAGACTGTGTGTTTTGAAAGTTTGCCTCCTGTGTAGACTGCATTTAATCCGAAATAAGGTCACAGCACATCAAGAAATTCATACCCATGCCCTGGCTGGGTTGCTTGGTTGGTTGGAGTGTCGTCCGGTGCATCAACAGGGTTATAGGTTTGATTCCCGGTCAGGGCGCCTATGTAAGTTGTGGGTTCGATCCCCCATTGGAAACAGATGATGTCTCTCTCTCCCCCCCACCGCCCCTTCCTCTCCCTCTAAAAATCAATAAAAGCATATCGTCAGGTGAGGATTTAAAAAACAAAAAGAAATTCACAGCCATGCATCTGTCTACCGCCAGAGCCTCTGATCACCAAGGAGACCAGCATGGCCATACTTAGCTGACAGAAAGCCCTCCACGACACTTCTCTGCCCTTATGTCTTTTCCTGCTTCTCTGTGGCTTCTGACCCCACTGCCACTCTCTCCTCTGCAGGCTTCCGCCAGCCTCCAGGTCACCGCACTCCGTGTTCCTCCTGTTTCTCTCCCTGGCTGCCGGCCCCTCCTCTCCTGCCCTCCCCTGGGATCTCGGCCCCTCAGGCTGAGGCCTCGCTGTGCCCCTTTTACTCTCCTGTCCTCCAGCTGGCCTTGATTCCTGTCAACATGACTCTCAAATTTGCGCTGTAGTCCAGAGCACTTACCCGGAAACCCACCAGCCTGTGTGGGACAGCACAGAGGTCCCACAGCCACACAGACTCGGCATTCACCAAAACAAACTGCCGCCCCCGGCCCGCTCTCCATCTCAGTGAGTGATGCCACCGGCGCTATTCTGGCCTCCTTTTTCCCACCCCCATGTTTACCACACAGGCATGCCGCGCAGTTGCCGTGGGCCAGGCTCCGTTCTGGAGCGCGAGACCCAGTGATGAGGGTGTTGGAGGTGATCACTGTTCTCGGGAGTGTTACACTCTGGTAGAGGCGACGGGCAGTAAATGAGGATACAAATAAATGTTCAGTGCAATGCAGCTGCGACATGGGCCATGAAGGTGCGGTCGGGTTGGGGTGGAGAGGGATGGGGTGGAACTTCTCGGCCAGAGCAAGCAGGAACGACTTCTTGGAGAAAGTGCCATCTGAGCCGAGGCTTGAGCAATGAGAAGGGCCGTGCCCGGGGCTTTCTGGGCGGGGGGGGGGGGCTGTACATGCAAAGGCCCTGAGGCAGGAGCAGATGTGGGTTGCTCAGAGACCGGCAAGGGAGCCAGGATGGTGAGTGGGGTCCACCAGGGGAGCATGGACAGAGAAGCGCTGGAGGGGCTGTGACGGGCCAGACAGCCAGGGGGACAGACTTGCAGATTGTTCTGTGTGAGGGGAGGCTGGGGCAGAGAGCAGATTCAGCAGGGGAAAGACCTAGCCTGACTGCTCGCTCTTTATGGGGAAGGGAG